CAGCAAACACAGGTATGTATAGTGGTCAGCTGCTATTTTGTCTAATTCTATTATGGTGTGCATTTTCTCATGTTAAAATAAGTTCTGAACTTCAGATTTGTGTAGTATTCCATGTTTTATTGTGCTTAAGGTGCTGTGTATTTTCCCTTTGTTTAAATGTAGCTCCTTGGAGAATTGGAGAAAGACCCCAAACTTGTTTACCATATTGGCCTCACTCCTGCAAAATTACCTGACTTGGTGGAGAATAATCCTTTAGTTGCTATAGAAATGCTGCTTAAACTAATGCAATCAAGTCAGATAACTGAGTATTTTTCAGTCTTGGTCAACATGGACATGTCCCTGCATTCAATGGAAGTTGTAAATCGGTATGTATTTTAGAATGCTTAGTTTTTTAACATGAATGAAATGTTTGCTAGATTCCACCATATTCTTGCCTCATCAAAGAAAACGCTTAGTTCTGTGGAATAAAGGGCTAAAACCTGTTAGGAGGGTGGAAAAAACCGTAATCCTGAGATAGAGGTTACTGGTAGCAGATTTAGTTTTCAAGCCAGTGAGACTTTTCTTTACTTGACAGAAGTGAATGACTGCAGTTGAGCCCCCCCCCCCCCCCCGCACCCCATTTCTAGTTAGGTGTTCTTGCCTTGAGCTTCAGAGACCACATAGCAATAGGAAAGTGAAACATTTCTGTATGCAGAACACACAAAATTGGGCCTGTAAGAAAAAGCAGTGATTATATTTCTGATGATTTTTTCTACCAAACGTGTAGCTATTAATAGGGTATTTGGGAAATGTTTAGCTCTTCCCCAGATTGAACTTGATATGTAAGGATGATCTGTTTCAATTAGGGTAATTGCCTAGTAGTTGAGTGACTTAAATATTTTCAACAGGCTTACTACAGCAGTTGATCTTCCTCCAGAATTTATTCATCTTTATATCTCCAATTGTATTTCTACTTGTGAACAAATCAAGGACAAGTATATGCAGGTAGGTATTTGGTAGTATATAAAAGCAGAAAACAGTGCAAGATTTGTCCACTTCCTCTTCCTACATGTTTTAAAAGTGCTCTTTAAGTTTATGGGATTCAGAGAGGAAGTAAAGATTTAGAAAGAAAGTAATTTTGCCTTATGTTCATCTATACATCCATAGAGGCAGATGGTTATTTAGAACTATTCACACAGTTCTATGTATTTAAGCTTCAAAAATGTTATCTTGTGTGGCTAAGTGATTGCATGTATAAAGCTCTGGAAAAGAAATCTAAATATGGAAACTGCCTTTATTTTCAAACTTTTAGAACAAAAGACACTACGTCAGCATGCTTTTGGGATTGGGCTTTTAAATGACAGGAAATCCTTTAGATAGGACACTGTCACTTGGAAGAGGGAAGTTGCTATTCACCATCTCAAGTTATTGCAGAATTCAAAAGTGACCTGCAAGCTTTGTTATATTGGGTTGTGAAGGAAACATCTTTGCTGTCATGGCGAGTCTTCCCCCCTCCCACTTAGTTATTGAGAATATGTTAATTCTTGACTTGGTCCTTTTAGGAAAGAAGTCAAATGGTGTGTTTTTTCTTTCAGAACCGGCTGGTACGTCTTGTTTGTGTCTTTCTACAGTCCTTGATTCGGAACAAAATAATAAATGTACAGGACTTGTTTATAGAAGTACAAGCATTTTGTATTGAGTTCAGTCGGATAAGAGAAGCAGCTGGCCTTTTTCGATTGCTGAAGACACTTGATACTGGTGAAAATCCTTCAGAGACAAAAACCTCAAAATAAGACTTAGTTTAGAAGAATGCTTTTTACTGGATTAGGATGCTGTAAGATTTCTGTATAGTTGATTATACTGCTTGCAATTAATTTGCTACTTGTGCTGTATTAAATATTGCCTTTTCTGTTGAAGTTTGAATCCATGCACATACTGTCTTTGTTTGTGAGTCTGAGCAGCTTGAGGATCTAGCCTAACTTTTAACTATATCAGTATTAGAACTGTGTTAACTACAAAAATGGGTAGCCAGATTGATTACACAATTTGACCATTACAGTGCTTGCATCCAAGAGTTAATGTATGGTAGGATTTTTCCTTAGTTGCATGTAGGAGATAGGTTGTATGATTATGACTCTCTCTCATAAGAAGTAAAATATGCGAGCCTGGTACTATAATTGTCTTACATATCTAAGCTGTTAAAAACAGGTATAATTGCTTTTTTTTGGCCTGTGACTCTGAAATAAGCATTGTTCCTAGTGACCGAATTTGTCTAGCTTTTTGAACAGGCTTCTTTATTCTAGAATGTTAACAGGAGTTTAACTTTCCTCCACCTTCTCATTTTGTCCAGCTCCTTTTTACATTCACCCACTTAACAAGCTTACATCTCAGTAAGTAGAAGAGGAGCAATAGTTTAGCAAGGAAGCATTTGCTTGCCATTTAAAGGGCATACACTCAATCTGACATAAAAGGAAAGATTCACACCTGGAGAGCCAGTGGTAGGCAGTAGGCAAGGGGGTAGGAGACCCATAATGCTACAGACACCTGCCCCCACCTCCCAAAAGGTATATTTTATTGTAAAGCTAAATTACCCCTTTGTGGTTGCCATTTTATTACTAAATCTTGGCTGGGACAGGATTGTAGCGCCAGGAAATTATATGCCCCTGCAACAGACAATGGCAGGCTGGATGAATTGAGTCGGTTTCAGAATATTGCATATTCAAGGTTGTCCAGCTCTTGTTTTGTCATATTTTGAGTAATGGTCACCCAGCTGCAAATAGGACCTCAGCTTTGTAAGGTTTTTTTGTTTTGGTATAGCCTAAACACTTTTTATGGGAGCAGGTAAGCTTTGAAATGCAATCTTTCTTACTAAAGAAACATAGTACTGTAGCTTGTCAGAGGCATGCTCAACAAAATTCAAATTATATAGGTATGTGCTTTGCCTTAAAAACTTACCTCATATTCCCTTTATACTGCATCACTAAACTCTGGAAGTAGTTACGCTAGATTTAGTTATTGCTATCCACTTTGGTGCTTTCAAAAGTTTAGTTATTGATGATGTCACAATGGCTATAAATTGCTACTCCTATTGTAGGCAGTATGCTTTTTGCAACCTGTTGCAGAGGACTACATCTACAAAGGAGCATAACTGGCCTTCCCAGTGGTACCAGACTGCCCACTATGTGTATACTGGACTAAATAGGCCTTTGTTCTGAGGCAGTATAGTTTTGATGTTGGGCTGGAATTGTGTAAAAAAGAATTAGTTCAGAAACACCTTACGGAAAGAAAAGAGTTCCATTTATTTCTTACACCATAGAAACATAAGGTAGTTGATCATACTGTAAAAATAATTTAGCAGAGTTGGCCGGTGATGTGTGATTTCCTGAAAGTGCAACTAGCACATTTGCCAATGTTTTGAATAATGAGTTCCGCCATTTCAGTGTATAAGCTTTTCCTGTGTCTTGTACTGTTTAGGACCACTTCTACGTTTTTACTGGTTGTTCTAGTTAACATACATCTGCCCTCACTATTTACATTTACCAACTGTCTTTCTTCCTTATTTTCACTGAACTGATGCCATACAAGTCTTTTTTTTTCCTCTTTTTTTGGCATTGTGGCATAACTCAAAGTAACCACAGGTACCAAATGACTAACAAGGCTTCTGTGAACACTTCTAACTACCTGAGCTCAAGAGAAGAAATAAGGCACTTCTATGAGGAACATGAAACAAACCGTGATCAGTCTTTCAGTTTTCCTTCAGCTTCTTATTGAAAACTATTAGCAATATAAGGCAAATAAAACATGCATAGGTCTGGTCTGGACCAGTCAAGAGCCAGATGCATTTTGCACAGGAAGGGGTAGCTACGAACACTAGGGTTTGTCCATGCTTATCTTAGATGACTAACTTGTAGAAGTTAATATCCTATATTTAGCCCATCTAACATGACTGCAATACAAGAGCCCAGACAAGTATAAATACACAGTCATACATGGTGTGGGAAATACGCAACCCTCTCCCCAATCACAGGAGTTGGTTGAACATACTTTTGAGATACATCTTACTCCTGAATTAACGTCATCATTTTTCTTGGCTTCAAGAAGGATCAGAGTTCATCTCGTCTAGAAAATTCTATCAGATTGGAAACTCCATTTGCTTTCTAAAGCTCTTGTTAATTATTATGGGGAACAACTGGAAGTTTAGCTGCTTAACATAAATAGTACTACTGAAAAAAATGACAAAATATGATATGTAAGCTGTTTAAAGGATGGGGGCAGTATCCAATGGACAGCAGCTGTGAATGGCCAGCCCACCAATTTTGTTGTGCAAGTGATACCTACCGCACGTAAAATGGAGATTTGAATACTTCCAGGGCCAAGCCAAAAGAAACACTCATTTCGGGTCTTGCCCTTTGATGCACTAAATACCTGTCCTGAAAACTGTGAGTGCCTCTTGCACAATGAAGCTAACAAGGCTGGCTGCATGCAGGTGCTAGCTACCAGATACTGTCCCAAGTAGCCAGGAGAGAGGAGGATAGTGATACAATGTTGAATGCTAATCAGTTATATATTCTTACTATTAAATTCAAGTTAAAGCTCCAAAGCATTTTTAAAAATAAAAAGATCACCTGTGGTAGCCTTCCCTAATCAGGTGCCATTCAGTGTTTTAGTCTATAGCTCCCAGCAACCCAATGGTCAGGGATTATGAAAGCTTTAATACCTTGGGGGAGGACCAGCTTAGAGAAGGCTATACCACAGAGTATAAAGTTGGCAAAATGAGTTTATGGTGTCCTACATCACTTTTAAGTTGCAGTACTGGAGAGGTTAAGACTTGATTCTAATCTCCAATGGCAAACCACTGTAACAAATGTTCTAGGTAAATTATACCATTTGTGCTCTTTAAAAAGAACTTTAATACATTATAGATTGTGGATACTAGTAAATATATCTCAACAATAGAACAAGGCTATATAGCAAGAGAACCTAAAGAATCAGTTTTGTACAGCAACAGACCAAACTTAAAATTTATAGTAATTCCATTTTATTGGAATGTAGATGACCAGGAAAAAGCTATGACTGCATCCAGAAACAGTTATTCTCTTCCCAGTTTTGCAGGCAGTTGGCTTCAGATGACATTCAAAAAAATAGGTTCACACCTGAATCTTCCAGTAGCTGCTGCTTTGTTTTAAACTCGTTTAGATTTCTTAATATTTTAAGTCTTTAAAAAACCCTTTAAAGGTACATTTTCACAGGTCTTACATTTAGCCTGGCTTTGACTTGCACAAAAATATATCTTGACCTATAGAAAAACACAGCTATATTCAATGGGAGACAAGCATCATTCAAGGACGATATAGATCAGTATCCAGAAGTATGGAACAAAGAACTCCTAAGTTGAGCTTGTATGAAGGCATCCCAAGACCATTTGTGGAAGAACGCCTAAATGAAGGGAAACCAATCACAAAAGTCATTACACAAAAAACATTACTCTTAGTAATCACTCAAGCCAGTAGCCTACCCAGAGAGAGCTTATTTGACTCTGAGGATCCAGGAAGCCATGTTCCAATCTCATGCCTTGCAGAAATAGTCAAAACTTTCCGAAGTTTTATTGTGTTACAACCTGGAATTGAAATGGATTTACTTAGCTTTTTACTACTTGATGTATACAAAATACTCTACACTCTTGGCTGCTTTTCCAACAAACGACATTTTTACTTGGATCCTGAGTTTTGCTGGATGAACTTTGCCACCAAAGCTGCAGTTGAGCTATATTCATTCCATTTTCGTAATACTGGATTTAATGGTGCTCTGGGAGATGTCCATTGTTTGGATTTATATATCTGTATGTACGCATTTGTGTGTAGATGTACATAGGTAAATTTGCCTGATTGGCGCTTCTGCACCACCTTATTCTCATGTTCTGATAGCATCTCAAACTTCATGATGCAGGTTGTTTAGATACTCTCAAAATACTCTGGGGCCTTCCAGAAATAGATGTATTTAATTAGATAATGTGTAACTGGAATTGCACACAGGTGAACTACATTCAACAATAGCATGTGACTTTTGGAAGGAGAAGGTTCTACCAAAGCTTATTTAGCCATGTTACAGTAAAGGGAGTAAAAGTTATGAAATCAGTGCCAGTTTCTGTGCCACAGAAAAAGAATTGTAAAGGTGTGCCGCACCTTTACAATGTTGAGCACCTTACGTACATTAAATGGTAACAATGCCTATTAAATCCATTTTAATTCCAGACTCTAATGCAACAAAATGTGGAAAAGTCAAAGAAGGCAATACTAAAAGGCAATGTAAAAGGTGTTCCCAGGACCCATCAACAGAAGGATTGTTTTTTCCCTTGAATGAAACAGTCTTCTCAATAAAGTTGAAGGGGTTAAAGTGGAATTGATTTAAAAAAAACCACCAAAACCTTCCCTCTTTGATACATGTGATGTTTGTGTAAATGATAGACCTTTATTTTTATGAACCGGCACCCTGAAAGTTCCCCCCACCCCCAGCTAAATCCATTTCTTTTCAGGCCTCTACACTATATTGCTGCCAAGTTTTAGCAGAGGCCAGGAGATCCACTTGCTGCCTGCTCCTAACCAAAAACAACTTAATCAAAATAAATTAATCTTGGAAATAGTCTTTTCTATAACTAATGGCCAGGCCACAATAATGGGATGGTAAATTTATGCCTGATAATGTATTAGAGTTATGGGCCATTTGAACTACCAACACCACATTTCTATAGCAAGCTAATGACAGGCTCAACAGACATGAAATTTGGGTTTGTGGTACCCAAAGGATTAGATGCTTCTGTTAGTTTGACCACAAACTAAAACCCCCAAGCCATGGTTTGATCCTAATTTGCAGGGGCTGGACACTTCTAAACTCCCACTGCAAATAGGAATGGGAGAATAACACTCCACTTTGTGCAAATGATGTAGGAAATGATGTTATACAGTTCAAAGACAACTCCTGGCTGAAAGTTAGCATCCATACTGTTTGAAAACATAAACAGTGATCACAACATGGTCCAATCCATTAATATGCAGGTCTTGCAGAACACATTCATGTAATACTCAAGAGAAACAAACCCAAGAGAAACAAAACTATTCCAGAAGTCATAGTTTTTGGTATTTTACTTTATGGGATACAGCTGAGGTCAGAAGAAAGAGTCGCTTCAGGAGTTTTGTCATCGTGCCTTTAGAGAGAAAACTGTTAACAGGCACTGCAATTCGGCCTTTCATTGTCATCACTCCTCAGCAATACACAAGTTTACACAGACTATCAATAGCTCAAAAAAACAGCTCTGATGGCTTAAAATCAAGGGATGTATTTTATTAAAAGACATAAAGTTCACAGAAAAGCATGCATTTTGCATATTTTATTCTGTCTGCATGTTTTCCTTTCCCTGCAAAAGCACCTAGATTTGGGGAGCAGGGACAAATATAAAGCAAGACGGCTTGCTCTAGATTTGCAGAGTAGATTTGATGGGCATATAACAGCTGTGATAAGGGAGGAACCAAATAGTATGGTACTATTTCATACTCCATTTGCACTTGGAACCTTTTTCTTCCCACACTTGTTATTCCTGAACTTTTGGAACCTTCTACATACCAGGTTTTACATATCCCTGTACATACCAAGTAGAAAACTCAGGTTCAGAGATGGAAAACTATCATTTATGAGAACAGATGATCAGAATATGGACTCTAGTTTAAAAAGTACATCAAGCTAATAGGCCCTACTGGCTAGATATAGACTCTACATTTGAGATCAATACAAAAATTCTGGTTCACATGTTTTATCAGATTTACATGTGTTTCCCATCCTTAATAAATACAAGAAATAATGTTATATTAAATATAGGACATCTAAAATTCAATTCTTACATAATAAAATGGTTGGTACTCACCATACTGCTTTCTTCAAAGGCAAGTATTACACTGCAAATTTCAGACAGGATCTGTAGAACTTCAATGCAACAGCATCCTGCCAGCTCCTCAAAATTAAACCAGTGTTGTGATATTCTAAAACTACTGATCAGTAACACTCCACTTCGTGCAAACGATGTAGGAAATGATGTTATACAGTTCAAAGACAGCTCCTTTCTGAAAGTTACCATCCATATTGTTTGAAGACATAAACAGTAATAACAACATGGTCCATTCCATTAATATGCAGGTCTTGCAGAAGCCAACACTTGACAGTTAGTCCATGACAGGCTGCCCTCCTTAAGAGGAGGTGACAAAATCTTCATAATATTCTGGAAAGTAATTTTGTGAAAAGCAGGTGCCTAGCCATCTTTTCCCTACTCTCCAGAATTTAAAAACTCCATATTCTTAAAAAACCAAAAAATATCTTGAAATGGACTTAAGTTAAATGCTCAATCAATTGAAGTAGTAGACTGCATATTTTCTCTGCCATTCCAGGAAGTACCTTATCAAATATTTAGTCTTAAATTAGGTGAGCAATTTTATTTACAAATGTGGATACATAACCCTAAACATTCATTTGTAACAGTAGCCTCCAAAAAGTTACTCCAACATTTAATATACCATTCATCTCATTTTAAACAGTGCAGTGGTTTTTACTTAGTACTATAACTTCAGAGTTAGTGCTTTTCAACTATAAAGGCACGATCTTGCTACTTTAACACAGGAATAAAGACTAGCTCAGGCAAACTTCTAACAAGGAATATTTAACTATCACTTCTGTAAAACAATAATGAATGTACAACTTTATTAAAACCCTAATAATAAATTATGCAGAATAATTCTGAGGAAGCCTCTGAAATATAGGAAGAACAGACTGATATCAGAGGGGCTTTTTAATTGCTATTGTTTTCATAATTCAAGTTTGCTTCTTTACACTGCCTTAAGATAGTAATACTTTGCTTGCTAATTTCAACCAAAAAACACAATTCTGTAACACAACTTTAGTTATTGAGGGTTTCTTTTAAGAAAATTAAGAGCCTCTTTTTCAGTCAGTCTGTGGCAAAAGCTTGCAGAACTGTATGCTCTTAGATTTTACTGGTAAGCAACATTGCATAATTTTAAAAGAATAAAAATTGCTGTTAAATACATGCTGCATGTACAAGAATATACCTCTCATTTATTTGTTACCCTGTTATTGGTACTTTTCCAGATTGTCCTTTGCAACAGCTCTCTAGCAAAAAGCTTTCAAACTTGTTCCTTTTTCTGCAGAGATTTTCCTTTTAAAATGTGGGTTTCTGTCTCTATAAACCAAGGGACTAGAAATTGTTTCTTGTGAAGGAAAATCCTGTTGAAAAAGCAACAAGCTCAACAAAAGGCTGCTTTCTGTCCCTGTGGATACTGTCCTTATTTTTTTTTCCATATAAATTGGTACAGCTCTCATTTCTCCAAAATAATCAAAAGGTTACCGTATTTTATATAGGATAACAATATTACAAAATTCTTAGTTACTAGTCCTTTTGAAACATGAATTAGAAAAGTAATACACTTTTTAGTCCACGTACAAATCCATACCATTTAAATAATCTGGATCTTGAGCTCTTATTTCAAGTATGTCAAGCTTTTATTAAGTACTTCCACAAGACAGGTATTCTTCACTTCGACTATCTCTGCCATCCATTTCTGGAAAAACAAAATAAGGAACTGCTAACACTGTTGAGCTCCATGGTTTATATTATACATTTTCACTATATTTATTCCAGCAAAATCATTTAATTGGAAGTCCACCTGTGTAAACTCTAAGTTTAGGTATAAATTATACTAACAGGAATAATACTGGCTATAGTAAAATTTATTCAGAGTTATGCACATTTTTTTTAGAATACAGTATAGCCTCTTGTCCCATATCATCTGTCCCAATCTTTAAGTAATTTAAGTACCATTTCTACAGCTCTATACATGCAATGATTCATTCTATAGGAGAAGAAGATACACATTCATATTGCTGGGGGATGCATGATGGACTTCTAAAGAAAATCACACCATATAGTCTCTCAGAAATTAGCAAACTGTTCTTTGCTCATTCATTTTCCCCATATATTTTACATTAGCGAGAGAGAGATAAAAAATATCCAAGATTAAGATTTTCAAACTGAATGTTTGTTCCCAACCTTTCAGTTGCTACAGAATTATTTTGCAAGGTTACATACCAAGCAAGGCTGTTGTTTCACCTACATCCTCTTTTAAACTGTTACTATTCAATGTGGATTCACTGGTAGAAGATGCTGATAAGTCACTTGTTTCATTTCTTCTCTCTTCTTGCGCAGCCATGCTCCAACTCCCTGCTGAGTTGGTGCCACTTACTGATTCAGCCACTGTAACTTCAAGTACATCTTTAGGTTCTTCCTTAAAATTGAGGAAAAAAAGCTTTCAACACCAAAATCAATACTGGAAAGGAGGCTGAAGTAGAAAAGAGATTAGGATAATTTACCAAGAAAAAACAAACTCCTTAATCAACACTAAGCCATTTTCCTAATTCCTGTCACATTGTAGCATGGTCCAGAATACCGAATAGCTCACAACCCAGAATAAAAGCAGGCTTGAGTGTAAATGGCTCCCACTCAATTCTGCAATCTACAAGACTAACTGGAAGTTGTTTGCACTACACTTGCTCGCACCAATAAACTTAACATGCAGGGTTATTCCATGCAACAGTGACAGCAGTCAGGCATTTATACAAGAAAGGGTTGCACGTAGGATCTTTATTACAACAGGAGGCAAACCTGTTTCCTAACATTAGGTAGGTGAACCTCATTCAAACAAAGGCATACAATGCAACGCATAGGTCCTGTCTTGCAACCTCTCTTTTATGACCAAATGCTGTACTATATGCTGTACTTATACAGATGTACAGATGACCAAGTCCCAACAGCCTGATTGAGCTAATTGTTCCTAACCCAATACACACTACACGGTAAAACTCTTACTGGGACTGCAGCAGCACTTCCAAAAGCTGCATGAGATTTTCAACAGCTTGTCTGATTTCCCTGCAAGTGGAAAGCTAGCATGCTACCTCCCATAACAATTTTTCACGAGTGGAGAACTGTTGCATATCTGAACACTATTATCCCACCATCAAGACTTCCCTGCTACATTCTGGTACACTGCGGTACATTGCCAAGAGAGGCACAAAGCATTTTTTCCCTGCATGTTCACCTCTGTTTTAAGGACAGCTTTATGGGTTATTGTTTACATCTGTAAGAGGGACAGTGCATACAAAACTAATTTCTTAAAAACTAAGAAATATTTTATTCCTACAGAAGAGAGAAGTCTGACAGAATGGGAGGGGAATAGAGCCAAGCAAGTACTCTTTGACCAGCTGTAAACAGTTTTATGCTTGGCTGGGTTATTAGATTTTCTGTACAGCTGTGTGTATATAGTCTGCAGTGAAGAGGAACAAACCAAATTTCAGACTTTCTAACCTTTCAGTGATTTCAGTCCAGCAAAACTGGCCATCCACCACTCCAGGGATATCCAGGTAAAACATGTATTCTACCACTAAGCACAGGCTCTCCCACAAAAGATGGCATGGCTTGGAGAAGCAGTTATTACTTGGTTTCATGCAAGATGCCCCAAACCAAGAGGCTTCTTCACAAATTTAAAGAATATGCTTGCTACATACCCAATATCCTAGAGCTTTGATGACATCTAGTTTACACATTGGACATGTTCTGTGTTCTAATAGCCAGGGATCAATGCAATGCCTATGGAACACATGTCTGAAGACAAAAGACAATACCTTTAAAATCAAGTATAAGAATGCCTCTAAAATTGAACTGTTATGCAATAGAACTTAGCAAGCCACAAATTAAAATAATAACAGAAAGCTTAGGCAGTAGGTAGGAGGATTACCTAAAACAAAACAATCTGGGACTTGGACGAGGCAGTATATAGTATGAATACAACACTTGTCAATATGCTGATTGGGCTAAAAGTAACTATCTTTACAAGCTCCAACTAGTTAGTTATGCTGTAGAAACTTTTTCAAATTTCTGCAAAAAGGAAATTGAAAGTAACAGCAGTAGAGAGAATCTAGAGAGTCTGTTGTAGAAGGCACCTTAGCTTATACGCTGGATACAGCAAGCTCTCCTCAAGCTACGTCCTTCCCTCTCAATGTTCCAGAGTCCTCATTAGCTGTGTTCACCTGGAGGAACACCTGCTTGGTTCACCACATCATCACCCTCACACTAAGGAAAATACTATGATTTAAAATGGCACATGGCTGAAGCTGGACTGGCCAATGCTGTACAGGCCTTCTTTGCGAACAGAAATGAATATATTGTGTTTCTGTGTTGTGATGCATCTCACTGTTACTTCTAAGAAGGGGTATCTGTGAAGAAGCTCAATGAAAGATACAGGTGCTTTTCTGTATGGCTATGAGGATGATCTCCTCCTCCTCCTGCGAGTCTATGGATTCCTACCCCCAATCTTTTGCCCCATTATCTTAAGATCACTTGACAGTCTGTGGAACAGAAGTTTGTGGAACAGGAGAATGTATATCCAAAGAAGAGTTTGTGGGTGCATACATATGTGATAGACAGGCAGTCCCCATAAACATAAAGTGAAAATGTGAAAGTGAGATCCAGGTTGCAGGTTCAAAAACATGGGTGTCAGCTCTGCATAAGTGGAAGTCCACTTCCAAACAAAAGTTTAAAGCACCTTACAATACAGTGACACCAAACTCTTGCCATGTTAAAGAAATTGAAAAGAGACATATCCTTGTCCTTGGAAATTCATGTTTCTCCCTGCCTTTCCATGAGCTCATGTCACACTGCACAGGTGGTGTGGGAAGTGGGCAGCAAAAGTGCCTTGTCCAGGTCAGCAAAATAGCTTGAAGCCGCTCTGAGATCCAAAGCATGCACGTGTACAGTAAGGTGGCCAGAATGACAAGTTCATTCAAACTGCTTCTTAATCCTCATTTATCACATTCAAGATACAATGTAAATAACAACTGCATCACTTGAATTGTGTTCCCTATCTTGAACACACACCCATTTAGTCAGAAGCTGCCTACTTAGGAAGCACAAGGATCTCAGCTATCAAGAGAAAAGCGAAGGATGATCAACCTATTCCAACTCTGTCAGTATTAGAAGTATCTGTAGCCTAATTTTCCTATTTATATCTCTTTTGCCTCCAGTCTAAGCATTTCCACCGCATAAAACTGGCCAGTTAGTGCTATCACACAGAAGTTCAGAGCTAGAAAATTAAGAGCTTCATAAAAACAAGGACATTACTTTTGTATGCCTTAATAAACCATAGATTACAGAATAGCTTCAATGCATATTTCATGAACTTCATTTTGTATTTCTGAGTAAAGACATCACTTGAAGCAAAATACATTGCACAATTTTAATAAACTTACTTGCAAGGCAGAATTCGAACCGTTTCTTTAGGTTTATAGTTTTCAATGCATATAGCACAATTCTCAGCATCGACATCCAAACCCTTTTTTTGAAAAAGAAAGAAATCACCCTAAGCAACAAAATCATCTTCAGTGGAAGATCAACTCAGGTATAACTTAATAAAATTCTGATAGTATATATATCTGTGGTGTGAGAGCAGATGAACACCCAGTTCAGGGGCTAAAGAACCCAGAATTAACCAAACAACTGCCAGTGGTTCTGGGGGTCAGACATTACAATGATAACCCAGGAACTGGATGTTACCAAGAAGTTGATTGAAAACAGATGGATGCAGGAGGTTGCATGCTTACTAGCTCACTCCTGCACTAAGAAGCTAGAAATTGCCATGAAACAAAAACTGGGTGTTCATCTACTCTCAAACCACAGATTACTTTTAAGTGGTATTACTTTGATCTCCTTCACCTTCTTAACATATACATGTTATATGCTTGAATTTTATTTATATGCATTTTCAATATGTTATATTGACTTGTGGTTGAATTGTTTTTTCTAGCATTGTATTGCACAGCATTATTTATTATTATAATGGATTTAAACATTAAGTTGGATTTTTAATTTAGATAAATAAAGTAGTAAATTTCACTCTCTTTTTAAAAAATAGAGTTAATATCATAAACATGGTACAAAGACATCTACAGTCTCATCAAAATGAATTAATGGTTCTGTCAAACTCACACACATTAAATCACTTATCTATTAAATGTAAGCATTTATTTCATTTTTTAATCTTATGAAAGTTTCTGTCCAGCTTAACTATCAGCTCTTGTTTTTAAGGATGCATAACATGTTAGTTTTCCTAAAGTTACAGTTTGCCTCAATGCACTTCAAAGATGGAGAGGTATAACTTCTCCAAATAACTTCTGTATTCCCGGATTGAGGTAAGTCTTTAGAAGCTTTTAGTACGTTTATTTATTTAAAACATTCCTAACCTGATCTTTAGTTGGACAGACATCAGACCACCTTCTAGAGCAGTACTGTTCCTTCCCTAAGGCTAAAAGACATGGCACAGCAGGAAAAAGGGATGGGGAAAGAAAGGAAGGATGGGAGAAGAAAACAAGCAGGCACGAATACTTAATATTCAAACTGGGATGGAAAGAAGATTGCAGTTCAACTATAAGGTTTGGTGGCCTCCAAGGCATGGCCTAGAACAGCCTATAACACAGTCAACATTTATTGACTGTACAAATGAAGCCTTGATTTTATGGGCCCTTGCTAGAACCTGTCAATATCTCATCCCTCATCACGTAAGACTGAAGGGAGCAACATAAAATCAACAGAGCAACCAGTTCTGGTGCTCTTTCTCACAAGGACATTGATTCCAAAAGTCTTTATGAGGGGAAAAAAGGATGGCAGTTGGACTAACTACTGTTTCTTCTCAAATCCACATGAGTTACTTCATCCTTATGAATGCACATATTGGTAAACTCCAACAAATTAAGAGTAACTAGCATAACTGAGAAAGCTTTTCAGATCTCATTTTGCTTTCTTGCGCAGTTATATAACCTGCTGACCAAGTTATTGAGACTCATGACCTAGACCAGGGTGGTCCAAATGTTTGTATCTCACGGGCTGCATGAGGACTTTAACCTGAACTCAGGGGCCGCATGATGAATCACATTTCCATGTTGTAAATTAAAGTGTTAGCAATATATTTGATACATTTGATACATTTAATTAACCATTAAATGAGGGAGTATTAATTTTCAGATGATTTTAGGACTAACTGAATGAAAAAGAACACTTTGTGGGTCTGTGATCTCCACGAGAGCCAGGCAGCTCCTTCTCCAACCACAACCCAAGCACAATGACCACTCCACTGGGGTGGCCCATCCCTTTCTTCCTTGTTTCTCCTGCCCAGAAACCCTCCCATGTGACCCCTCCTGGCTCCTCCTTCCTTTTTGGAATTGGCACACTGAGCCTCTTGTGCTTAGTCGAGGAACACTCTCCCGTTGATGAGCAATGCAGGGCATGCTGGAGCAAGCTCTCCCAAGGCAGCCGGCCTGTCCCACTCTCTTCCCAGGAGAGCTCACTGCAACCATGACTATGCCAGCACAAGGATCTGGACTGGGGGGTGAATGGAGAGGCTCCAAGTGGAAGAGTGCCACAGAACAAGGCCTTGGGGGCTGCATGGGGCCCCCTGGCCACATGTCGGACCACACCGACCTAGTTTTAGAATAAACAAAACATCCTGCCTTCTTCAGAAAGAGCATTTTAAAAATTATGAAAAAGTTAATACAAGGCATTTAAAAACCAGGCAGGATTGTAAAAAGATAACTCAGGGATCCTCAAAAGTTTCAGAATGCCCGCTGAGATGTATTTTATTTTCAACAGCAGACACCAACCCCACCAAAGCTTTTAAAGCTCCTCAGCTTCCAAAGAAGTTTTGCCATGTATCATTCTGGGCTGCCATTCATGAAGCAAATCCAAGGTTCCTTTGGGTGCTTGAAGTCAGCAATGTAATTATTACATCTCAGCAACCTGTGTACATAATCACGCACAGCATGTTTCACCCAATTTTTAAAATTCATTTACTGATGAAAGAGTGTCTGATCAAAATTACCTTATCTTCATACTTTACAACATGCAGTGGCAGCAGACTAATTGCTTTCAAGGTTTCTTCTCTGCGGCCCTTAAAAAAATAAAAGTTTAGTAGTCCAAAATTCGGTGACATTTTTGAGCAAGCATCTGAGATAGAGAATAATAAAAGATTCAGCATTTTGTTACTGAAAGGTGCAAAGCAATTCTTTACCAATATAAGACAAAAGCACATAAAGTAAATTTCAGATGATAATAATTCCTACAGTATTTCCCTAAAGGAGTTAGAACTATGACATTTCCTATGAAGAATTCCTCCATCTACAATATTTAATCCAAATCAGTCTCACTTTTGTCACCTGCAGTGCAGTGCAGTCCTAAAATATTTGCTTCCACTTAATAACTATTACTGAAACAAAATTAGGAATGACAAGTTACCAATTATCTTCATTTCACATTACGAGGCAGCTAGTAAATCCAAACATTACTAAACAAAGTGTTCCTAAGTTTGTATGTCTCCAGCCAGTTTAAGTTAAAATGTTATATGCGGTCAAGATCTAGAAAATATCATCAATTTGGTCATACAAGCACTGTAATTATCTTAAACTTCCAACATTATGGAAGAGAACCATTGAAAGAAATGGTGAGAGCTGAATTTCATGCACCAAGCTGAACCAACTTTCCAATTCCTTTCCTGTAGGGATATTATCAATGAAGAACTAAACAGGCAGTTAAACTTGGTTATATCTCCACAGGACATGAACATGCAAAATAAGAAGAATTTAATCACCTGAGAGCAACTGCTGCCCAGTTCTAGTTTAGAATGCTAATCTAAACAGTAGAGGTACAGTTCAGGTAAGTCTCATTCTACAAACATGTCACAACAGATACTAATAAACAACTTATGTATTGGTATTAAGAAACATATTCAGGATAAGTAGCATTCATAGATGAGGCAGCAAGATAGGTGACAATCATTTTTGCTTATGCTGGCAAACATTTTTCAATGAAGACAGAAAGGATAAAAGAATAATTGGTAATTACCTGGTTTCTAAACTGTGATCCAGTATAGAGAAAACGCTGTATATAAAAAAATATAAGCCACGCTAAAGATATAATCATCATGGTGATAAATGCAACTGCTACAAACACAACAGATTGTCCTTTGATATATTCTTGTATGTGTTGTTTACCAAAACCAATAGTCATTTTCACAGGAATCCCTCTTTGCACTGGCTTCAAGATTTCCATTCCTTTTGGATACCCAACCATAATTACAATTGCATTGCCAGTACCTGTTGAAGGAGAAGAAAAACAAGAATCAAGTGAGATCTTGTAAACTGTTTTATCTCCTTAGCAAAAGTCAAACCACCTCACATCTTTCTCAACTAAATCTTTCTTGTGCTGCCCACAGCTGTTTTAGACCAATAGTATACTGAAATTATCACTTCTAGCCGTTTAAGCAGGTATATGCAAAACAATCAAATGTAATTACTATATGAGAATTTAATCTGAAATTATGTTTCAGTTTGAAAACATTAATATATGAATTGATGTTCGATGCATGAAAATTTAACAGCATTTATTCTGCTTCCACCTTTTGCAAACCTTTTAACTGTAGCCACATGGATCCATCTAAAAAAAATTATACTGTAATGGTATGCTTTGCAAACCATGTAAGAAGAGATAAGCTCTTATAATACAGCCCTGCTGTAATGAATGAACCATTAACAAAGAAACAATCTATATTAAGTGTGCTATTGATAATATTCTGAAACTTTGGTTTACACATTTCATTTTATTCAGTTTGTTTACTACAGATACCAAATAAGACACAGAAACATTTTAGTATGTGAGAACATGCCTGTGATTAAGAGGCCCAAGAATATAAGATATGTAAACAACAAGAAGTCAAAGTTCCACTGACCTAGTCAGGAAGTACAGTTTTGTATTTTGGTATCTTAATTACCAGCATGCCAATCAAAGACTGTACTTCAATAAGATTGCAATCCAGAGATATTACATGGTTTTTATAATGGAAGAGGAAGCAGGCCATGATTCAAATGCAGCTTCTGCATCTTAGTTCCTCCCTTAGTCCATCAGGCATCCTCTTGTTTCCCTTTATTTCCAAATATGCATCTTGTGACTTGTCCTCTTACATTTCACAGTGTGCTTTGCTTTCCCTAATCTTGAAGTCCAAACCAGAACTACAGAAGTCTTCTAATTAGTTGGTGAATAAAAAGGAAGGCGAGAGGGTGGGAAAAGGTATTCATACTTTCTGTTCATGAAACTCTAACCTCAAGACTATAGCTAGAAATCGCATCCATTTTTTCCCCATCTACACACCCTTAACATGTGTTCAAGCAAATACTGAAAAGATTGCATGTATTCAAACAAGTACTAAGAATCCAAGGTAAAAATTGCCTGGAGTTTCAAGACTTACTTCTTGATAAGTCAGTTTGCAAAGTCAAATTTATTAAGCCACAGTGTATGCCAATGACCATTTGGGATACACAAGCCCTGTTCAAGGAATGTGCAAGGGTTGCATAATGGTCACACAACTCATCTCCAGCAACAAGCCATGTTTATAGCTTGTGATTTCAAGATGGTGCCCATGGGCTGTGCAGCCCATCATGGCTTAAATAAGCCACAATCAAGCAAGCCAGAGCAATCACTCAAATCCAGTAAATGAGTCAGGATCTCTTACTCCCCCTTTCTTCAACATAGCGTTCTAAAATACATGTCGCAGTTTGAGAAATCCTAGTGAATCTCAAAGCAGAACAAAATAACAAGATGAAAAGCAAGAGGAAGACCACAAGAATATAACAACTAAGCCAGTTTAATCCATTTCTCTCAGTAGATGAGGTTGCTCAGAAAAAACCATGGAAAGGAGACAGCACAGACATTCAATCATAAGCAAGTCATTCAACTAAATTATAACTGGCACAATATGGTACTCCATGTTGGTTTCAGAATGATTGCAAAGCCTTTGGAACAATTCATCTGATAAAATGCCCTTTCACAAGCTTTAGGGAAGCAGTAACTTCAGTGCCTCTAAGTCTCATAGAGCAATGGCACTCAGGCTTGTTTTTCCTGTATCTCATCTACCCTCTGGTAAATCCAGCGCATCTAGAAATTACCATGCTTCTCCCATACTCAGTGGCTGGGTTCACAGGTCATAACAAGCAACCCTGCATGGTGCATGATTTTTTGCCTGGCTGTGCTTGATAGATGATCAAGTGATTTCTAACCTAGTGTGGTTTCCACCCTCATTCACTCCTCCTTCTGTTGGCATGTGTCCCATCAGTCACTCTGAATGAAATTCAATCACACGCTGGATGGTTGGAACTGCTCCTGCAGCAGCTGCCACTCTTACAGGAGACTCTGTGGTGGCTGCATACCAGATCCATGGAACCATGATGCTGGGGTTTAGACAGTCAAGAGAAACCATGGTAAAAGCATGAACTACAGAACAGATGTTTACCACTTACTGCTGTTTCTAAAAACCATGTGCACCATGCTGACACAACAGATCACCCTGCAAAAGAAATCAGCATGGCTTGTTATGTCGTACAAACCTGCCCAATGTGTCAACTGCCTCTGTCCCTAGTTTATAAAGTATGTCCTGACTGTTATGACCATCTGTTCCACTCATCCACTTTCAAGAGGTTTTTGATTTTAGAAATATTTAGAAATCTTGAACCATTTTTGCGGCAATGAACCATAACCAGTTTCCATAAGGCTTTCTAGGATTTCTTAAGGATGATTTCACCTACTTCTCAAAATTCATATTCCTCCTCAATTCTGTTGTTCCATTATACCATCAAGAAGATGCTGTGTGCATTCAAACAGAATGCTTGTTACTCTACTACTATGTTAGGGGTTCTCTGCAAGTTTTGAGGACAGTGTTATTTCTGAACACTTATTGCTGCTCTGGCCTACAGAGGTACACATGTTATTTGCTAACTATGGCTCCTTTTTCTTGTTCAGATGCTATTAGTAATACAAAACTAAAAAAATATTTTAGGTACCTATAAGTGCAGACACTGGGATGAAAGATACATTTTCTGGAAGACATTATAAAGCAACATGGTCCATATAAGTGGCTAGTCTGTTCAGTGTTTCATACAGAAGCACCATTAAGTAGCATATGTTTAACCTATTTTTCCTCTTAACATTTTAGTTACAGCATCATTCATTTTTAAGAGGGAGAAAAACTTTATGGCCCTCTCATGAAGTTTCATTAGCTTGCTTCTCTTGTTTCTGTGTCACACAGCTGCTAAATACAATCACACCTCCAAACAAGCCAGTTGCTACTGCATCCAGCACCACCCATATTTCCAAAGTCTGGGCAAATTACCTCTGAGTGAGTTGATTTAGGGTCATGCTTTATGAAGTCCAGAAATAAGATATAGTACTTTCTAGTTTGGCACTTTTTAATTATCTTTAGCCCTTCTAAACCATTAAAGGAATATGATGAAACTTTAAAAGGGGAAAATGTCTAACATAATAAAACAGGTAATCTAATAACATTCAAGGGCATAAGATTCAGGACAGACAAGAAAAATGTTTCTGCATGCAAGTCATAATTTATGGAACTAGTATCACAAGATGGCCTACAACATGTACTTTTTTTAAATGCAACAGACAAGTTCATGGAGGATACATCTGGCTACAGAACCTCCATATTTAAAGCAGTACATCACTAAAGAGCAAATGCTTGTGACAACAGGTAAAGACTGTGGTCTTCATGTCCAGCTTCAGGGACTTTTTGAAGGCTCTAGCTGGTTACTGTTAGTAACAGCATGATCCACTTAGGGCATCTATCCCCAACCAGATGCCCTCTAGATGTTTCATTGTGAAAACCAAGCGGCAGGGATGAGTGAGAAGAGTGTAGCCCACCTTTTGCTCCTTGGGGGAAACAGGATATAAGTGGAAACAAATGAATAAAAAGCCCAGGATGCTAGCCTAAATAGTCCTGATCCAGCAAGTCTGTTCTCTTGTACATACTAAAGTTAACCCTTGCAACTATTCCACATATGGAGTCAGATCCAAATTATGTTTATTAAGAACAAAGGCCTTGTTTACACATGAAGCACGGAAGTTCTGAGGTGACAAAATGGGTGGCAGCACTGCAGACTACATGTAGGAGATACTGGGTGGTTGTTTTTTTAACAGCTCCAGAATTAAAACAAAAATAAAATATCCCTGCAAACAGAAAACCACTACAGCAAGAAGTCCACTGGGCTGGATTTTTCTCCCCCGTGTGTGCCTGTGCATTTTACATGAAGGCACATCCAAAAATGGCATGCATCAACTCCAGTCTCATGTCTACCATGTCATTCCACTGCAGATTTCCTCTCCTGGCACCTTCCAGAGGTGTTTGGCTGGAGGTCCCTTCATTCCTGGCCACCATGGCCTAGCTCAGGATGATGGGACCAGCAGACCAACACTTCTAGAGAATCCCAGGTTGGGAACGCCTGTTCTACTGCACGTGGAGCAGGGCAGTTTTTATGGGAGTTATGTCTGTATTAAGTATTCATAGCATCACAGATTAATTGTCCAAGAGCTTTATATGCCTCCACTTGCTCCGAACTCTTGCCTTCTTAACGGCCTCGCGAAAGAATGGTTTGCCTGCATCTTCCCCCATCTTTCCTCTCTTTCAGCTTGGGCTCCGTTCCCCGCCACTTCCCATATAACCAACCCAGATGCCATGCCCGCACCGGATGCTTAAGCAGGCGCTTCCCGACATCTGTCCTACACCCATCGCCCCCCCCCCCGAGCCATTCCTCCCAACGCCACTCACCGAGGTGCGACATCGTCAGGGTGGAGTTGCCGAATCGGAGCTCGTTGTAGACCACGACCGCAGCCGCCCTCTTCCTCGCCGCGTTGGTGATTTTGTCCTTCAGGCTGCAGCCCCCATAGGCCACCAAGGCAATCCAGGCCGGAGGCGACGGCGCGCTCTGCCCCGACAGGGCGGGCGGCTCGGGGATGTCATACTCGCCGTCGGGCTCGCAGCCTTCCATGTGGCGGGCGGCGGCGCCCCGCGGGATGCCCACCAGGCCCTGCGCGCCCTCCTTGGGCGAGCCGTCCGCGTAGCGGCCGCTCTCAGAGCTGCTGCGCACCGTGCGGTTGGTGCCGGGCTCCGTGTACACCGTGCTCACCCACGCCGTGTACCACACCAGCGACCAGGCGACCCGCGGGCAGCCCACGGCCGCCAGCAGCAGCAGCAGCGGCAGCGCCACGCGGCGCACCAGGACCATGGCTCCCGGGTGCGGCGGCCAGGCGAGCAGCTCGGGAGCCGCCAGCCAACTTGCCCGCCGTCGCGGCAGCGCATGCAACCTCCTCCGGGTTCCCGCCCCTCGCCCGGGGCGGCCCAGCTTGCAGGCTGGCGGGGAAACGGCTGCGTCGCTGCCGCCGAGCGTGGAGAAAAGAGGCGGGACAGAGCTCGCGTCGTTCCGCCCTCTTGAGGCAGAGCGGGCTTCTTCTGCGCGGGCCAAGCCGAGTGCGGTTAGGCCTAGCTCTGCTCTTCCTGCTTAGTTGTTCCCCGCCGCAGCTTCCCTTTGTTTGGAGACCGCTCCTTCCCTTCTCCCTGCCACGGAGAAAAAGCGACCCTCCCGCCTCTGTTATGTACATTACCTTTGATGCTTCCAGAGAAAGGAGTGGCTGAAATACATTGCCAACCTACGTAGGTCCACGCAGAACTTAAGCCCATTGAACTAAAGGGGACTTGTTTATTTATTAAAAGTTTTTATATGCCGTCCGATACTAAAGTCTGTGGGCGGCTTACGAAAAAAAACAAACCCAAAACAACTATATACAACAAAGAACATACTGCATCCAATAAATAATGATAAAACCAATGATAAAACCAATTAATACTGGGAAAATTAAAAGGTCTTCGCCTGACGCCAGAAAGAATAAAGCGACGACGCCAGATGAGTCTCCCTGGGGAAGGTTCTTACTTAGTCCCAAGACCGAAAAACCAACTTCCAGTTATGCTGGCTGGAACATGCTGTAAGCAGTGGACCTTTTTCTTTCTAAACTTTCACAGGATTGCCTAATAGTATTTATTATGTCTGATATATCAGAAATGAACACCCTAGAAAGGAGACTTCCCATCTGGCAGAGTCTGCAGTGTCGTAATGTTCCAGTGTCATTACTCTTTAAGGACTCGTTAAACCCACTCCTTTCCCAGTGCAAACAACAAAGCAGTAAACACTGTGTAAACACTGGTGCAGGAAAAGAGTAACCGCAAAAAGGGCAAATGCTATTTTGGGATGCATTAATAGAAGCACAGAAACATAGAAACAGAACGAGTCAGCAGGGGTCTCCTGGGCCATCTAGTCTGACCTCCAGCACCAGTCCCGCTCACGACATGCCCACGAAAGCATCACTTTCATATTACCAGAAGTACTAGTTCTCCTGTACTCTACATTAGTCAGACCTCATCTAGAATACCATGTCCAGTTCTGGGCACCACATTTTAAGAAAGATGCAGAAAAATGGAAAAAGCTTCAGGGGAGGGCAACAAAGATGATCCAAAGATTGAGAACAAAGCCTTATGGGGGGGACTGAGAGAAGTGGGTATGTTCAGCCTTGAGAAGAGAAGACTGAGGGAAGGGGGGCATGATATCTACCTTACCAGTACTTGAAAGGCTGTCACAAAGAGGAAAGGCAAGATCTCACTCATCCCAGATGTAGGACACAGAATAATCAACCCAAGTTGCAACAACCCAGATTAGGCTAGATATCAGGAAAAGTTTCCTAACTGACAGAGCAAAATAGCATTGGAACCAGCTGCCTAGAGAAGCATGTGACATACATTCAAAAAGAAACTAGACAGTCATCTGAGTGGGATGGTACAAAATGGTGGTCTGCAACATCAGGGGGTTGAACTTATTTATTTAAAAATTTTGTATCCCGCCCTGTACAGTGTCTCAGGGCAGTGATAACATAGGTAATTAAGACACAGCATCACAATAATACATAAAATCAACATTGAAACGGTACTAACTTTTAAAATGCTGGGAAAATAAAAAGGTTTTGGTCTGGTGCCAAAATGAAGAAAGTGTCAGCGCCAGGTGCACCTCTCTAGGGATCCATTCCATAGCTTGGGTGCCACTGCAGAGAAGGCCCTTCTCTGAGTAGCCACTCTTCTGATCTCCTTCAACGAGGGATCCCAAAGAAGGACCTCTGCTCCAGTTCTTAGGGGCCAGGCAGGAATATATGGAAAGAGGCGCTCCTTAAAATATCCAGGTCCTAAGCTGTTTAGGGCTTTATATATCATCACTAGCACCTTAAATTGGACCTAGACTTCAACTGGAAGCCAGTGCAGATGGTGTTATATGTGTATATCTGCCAGTCCCTGTTAACAACCTGGCTGCTCTATTCTGAACCAATTGAAGTATCCGGACTGTCTTCAAGGGTGGCCCTATGCAGAGTGCATTACAGTAGTCCAATCAGGAGGTTACCAGAGCACGGGTCACCGTTGAAAGGCCCTGTTCATCCAAATATGGGAATAACTGATGGATCAGCCAAAGCTGAAGGAAAGCCCTCCTTGCCAAAAAAGTCACCTGAAACTCCCAAGAATAACTCTGGGTCAAAGAGCACTCCCAGACTACGCACCCTGTCCCTTGGGGGAGTGCAACCCTGTCCAAAACAGGGCAAAGATCATTTACCTGGAGAGTTGAACCACCCACCAACAGGACCTCCATCTTGTCTGGATTAAGCCTCAGTTTATTGGCCCTCATCCAGCCCATCACTCCAGCCAGACACTGGTTAAGGACAGCCACTGCCTCACCTAGATCAGATGTAAAAGAGAGGTAGAGCTGGGTGTCATCAGCATATTGATAACTGTGCACCGTGTGGTTGCGCAGCCCAAACCCCTCTCCCAGTGGTTTCATGTAGATGTTAAACAACATGGGGGATAAAATGGAGCCCTGTGGAACTCCATGGCATAACTGCCATGGCACAGAGCCACAATCCCCCAGCACCACTTTCTAGAATCGGCCCATCAAGTAGGAGCAGAACCACTGCAGAGCAGTGCCTCCAACCCCCAACTCAGCCAGCCTATCCAGAAGGATACCATGGTCAATGGTATTGAAAGCCGCTGAGAGGTCCAGGAGAACCAACAGGGACACACTCCCCCTGACTCCCTACACAGGTCATCATACAGGGAGACCAAGGCAGTTTTGGTCCCATAGCCAGGTCTGAATCAAACTGAAATGGGTCCAGATGATCAGTTTCCTCCAAGAGAGCTTGGAGTTGCCTAGGCACCACCCACTCAAGCACCTTGCCCAAAAGCAGGATGTTAGCCATTGGCCTATAACTGGAGGCAATCTCTGGGTCCAGGTTTGCCCTCTTCAGGATGGGTCTGATCACTGTCTCCTTCAAAGGTATGGAGACCAGACCCCCTCAGAGAGGCATTAACTACTTCCTGGACTCAGGTACAAATCCTATTCTTGGCTTTGAGCATCTATGAAGAGCAAGGGTCAAGTGAACAGGTGGTGGGTCAGACTTGTCCAAGCACCTTGTACACATCCTCAGGCTGCAATAATTGAAACCTATCCAGCAAAGGTGGACCAGATGGTGCTCTGGACACCTGTTCCAGGAGCCTATCAACTGTGGAGTCCAGCTCATGGCAAATCTAAGCAATTTTATCCCTAAAGTGCTGGGCAAGTCATCACAGTGGGCTAGTGATGGTGCAACAAGGTCCTTTTGGGGGCCGGGGGTGTAATAGGCCTCGCACCACCCTGGATGGCACTGTATGCAATGGAAGCGGAGGAGGATTCTTTCTTCACCGCCCTCATTGCCACAGCATAGGCTCAGTAATGAGCTCTCAAATGTGTTCGGTCTGATTCAGCCCGAGTTTTCCTCCACCTACGCTCTAGCCATCTCCCAGCCTGCTTCATCACCCATAATGCAGGAGTATACCAAGGTGCTGCACAAGTTCTGCATGGGGGGGGGGGCTTAGGGGCAATCATGTCAACCACCCTAGTCATTTCCATATCCCACAGATCAACTAGGGCATTGACAGAAGCGCCAGCCATATCAGGCTGTAGAAGTCTTTGCCAATGGTCACAGTGGCAGGATTATGCTTACCTAGTTATTTCTGCAGCACCCTGGCCAAACTTTAAAAGTCATCTACTCCCAGTCAGCTTTTGGCCAAAAGTGACAGGTAGAGTACTCAAAGGCACATATTTCACTTTCTCCCACACATGGAGCTTAAGTTGTTCTGAAGATCCCACAGGGGGAAGAGGGAGGTGGCAAGACAGGAAAGTGTCCAGTCCCTGCTATCACTAAAAGGGCTAGTTAAAGTATAACTACTTTTTTTTACCCCATTGACTGTCAGCTCAGGGGCTGTGCCGGTAGTCCTAACCTAGCTACAATTCTGGCATCTAAGTAATGTAAGAAGACTTGTAACTCTTCAGCAATATATGTTTAGCAATATTGATTTTTTTTTTCATTTTTTCTGCTTTAGATCATGAAAGCACTGTGATTTTTTATGTATTCCAGTTAAAATAATTCACCAAAATATTCTGACTGCAATTTCTGCAAAATGTTTTATTTTATGTACATGTAATGATTAATAAACATTTTTTACAATAATCAGGTGGTTCATTGGTCAATTCACACTGCAAATTGCAATGCAAATTAGGAATAGCATGTGGACGCATTTTTATCCAGCAAGGAAAATTATCTTAGAAACTGAACATTCTTTGGTTAAATTACAGCAGCAGATAAACATAGCCAAGATTATTTGTACTACCTGTTGTGGTCCATTGTAATTGATTTTTTTCAACACACAAACTTGATCTTTATTATGTAAACTATCTGGAATTCCTTTCAAAAGGAAAAATGCATTAATAAAGAAGCCATTCTGAAAGGAAAAGACCCCTTTCCCCTCTACTAAAACAATATCAGTTCCATCAACCATTTCACAGTCAATTTCACAGGTAGACCCATCCGTTAAACCATCTTAAATTTCCTGAACTAAGGTTCAAATGCATCTTTTTAATTTTGCCATTTCAATTATTACATTTTCATGTGTAATACTTTACATGTTTTCAATTGTCTTGCTTTTATCATTTTAAATTGTTCTGCACCTTTGATGTTTTAGCAACAAAAAAATGGTTATATAGGTGTTAATAAAATACTAGTAAATAATACTGACTGGATGGAGAACAGTTTTTTAAGAGAGTCCGAGTACAGAAATACCTAGTAGTAACCACTCTGTCAATTACAGGTACAGTGACTTCTACACTGGATTACATTCTCAAGTAATAAAAATGTATGCAGACAGAGGTAAAGTGATATTTCTGCGAGTCTCTGAAATACTGCAGTTTGAGCTTGGTTTTATGCTATTTGCAACACTCTCATTCCCTTCCTAACATTGTTATGATATGCTGGAAAACTTAAAAAGGAACTTCATGCACCCAAATACTGATGTTTACATAAGGATAAGAAAAGAAAGCTATAGCATTTCTTATGTCTAGCTGACTATTATTTTATTCCTTGACTTCAAAATAATAAATTAAGGTATCTCTTAACTTCCTAAAAGATTGGTTCTAGAGCCCATTCAAACATCAGTTGAGAAGATAAAGCGTATCTTAGCAATGGACTAGCCTATATTTTTGTTTCCACTGCCATAGTACACACATAATGATAAACCATAGTTTAACATGATGTGCATGGGCTCTTGTGCTCCCCCCTCTTTCTCTGGCATGGCCATGAGAAACTGGTTAGGGAACATTTGTTTTGTTTTCAGCTAGTCACATTTTCTTGTTCTGTCCAAACTTGGAGCCACGATTAGTATTAACTATGGCTTACTGAAACAAAACCAGAATAATTAACCATGGTTTGAAGTTGGGTTGTTTCAGTTAACCATAGTTAACATTAACCATAGTTTGTCCAGGTGCAGGACACACAAAAAACTGTAGCTAGTTGAAAATAAGCAAAAGCTTCCAATCATCTCTATTGGCTACACTGCAGGAAGAGAAGAAAACACAGAGGCACATAATTTCAGTGCTCATGCACATAACACTAACCTGTAGTTTAGCTTTAGAAACAAATAAAGCCAAGATCCCTGCAGTTTAAGCAAACGGAAATGCCTTGACTTTTTCCTACTTTCTCAAAGAAGCAAGTTAGGATACAAAGCTATTCCCAAACTATTTTAGAGCATTACATTTTGTGCGATAACTAAAATCAAATGTGTGCCTACTGAGAATGCTGCACATATTTAAAGCACCCCTTTCGACTTTCAAAAAAGCAAGGAGGTGCAGTAATACTATCATCTCCCTCCCCAAATACTATCCATTTTATCTTGGGTTGCAATTCTTGCCTAGTTTCAGTAATTATAATTTGCATGTACTGTATAGTCACTAGCTACGCGATACATGTTTGTAAAAAATCCAAAAATACTCAAAACACCTTAAAGAAGAAATTAGTATAATCCCTTACCAGTCTTAAATGGTAAGTTTATTGACTGTAGTTTAGCATCTACTACTCATTTTCACGTAAAAGGTTCATACTGTCATTCTGCTCCAATTAAGAAGGATCGAGCCATTTTTAAACACTTTGCACAGAAATACTGTTAAATAAATACCCAATAACACAATATATAAAACCTTTTCTTTAAAAAGTAAATATGAAAACACTGAATTCACATATGTTAAAGTTCAATCAAGTTTTACTGGGAGCTTTGAAATATTCTTCCAGAGGAATGGTGACAAGTCCTCCATACCAATTCTGAAGCCAGACATGTTCGATGTTCATTTTCATAAAGAACCATTCATAATTGCGAGGCCATTTTCTCATTACTGGGTGCCTAAAGGAACAAAAGTAACCAAACAGGTTTATACTAAAAGGCTTTGGCCAGACAGATTAATTTGTTACAACCTGGAAGCTGTGTGAGCCTACACCAGGTTAAGGGAATAAGGAATACTGCCTTTAGGCTGTAAACCTAGGCACAAATACCTGTAAGATCCACTGAACTCAGTAGGGTTTATCTCTAAGTGGACACACACAGAACTGAACTGTTAGTAAAGTTTGTGTCATCTTGTGCAGCCTATTATTTCCTCTTACAAAGCTTGGGCATTATCAAATCAATGTTGGAACTTGTTTAAACCCCATTCAGCAGGAGAGCTTAGCATTAACCAAAGTGGCTTAAAGGTTCTTAACCCTAGAAGGAGAAGGGGCCCCTGTTTTTAGCTAACATCTGACTCTTACAAGCATACCCTTTTAGAGAAATGGTTGTCTCATGGAAGTCTTGTCTCATGTTACTCCCTTCAGTTCTTTGGGCCAAATGCCCCCCTTAGCACAATAAAAGTGAATTAATACTGACCCAGACATACAGAAATAGATTGATACAGACCTAGAAAACAATGCTTGCTTGGCAAATTCCATTTCTTGTGGAGGCACTATAACCATCTCTCCTGTAAGAATAAGTCTGGCACACCGTGAATCGTCAGGATCAACAACAGTTCTTCTGAAAGAAAAGAACTTTGCTTTATGTTATGTTACTACACATTAGAACTTGTGCTTAGATATACTTGTAACTTCCTATTTTATCATGAAAGGACGGTACACTACTATATATGTCTGATATGGGTGTTATTTATTTGCTTTATACCCTGCTTTTCTAGCACATGATAGCATGAACAATTAAAATTCAATTCAAACATAGCAGTAAAATTATATATAAAGCGTTAATGAAGATATCTAAACAGATTTGTCTGCCATGACAATGCAAACTCAGAACTATGGGTTGCTAAGGGGGACACATCTGAGAATTTTAACTCATGAAGAAATAAAGTGTTTTCCACCAAATCTATTTCTACCTTTTGCAGAGTCTGGTTGGTTCTTGGCAGCCTATTTTACATTTCCTTTTTCTGGCCCAGTTTGAACTGCCACACTGTTTTCCTGAACTTCCATCAGTGCTGGTTAGTAACACATGTTGGATCAGCTATCAAAGACTTTAAGTAGACACTATCAGCTACCATGCTAAATAAATAGTTTGGATCCACCTGTGGGTCTCAGCCCATGTTTAGGTAGGTTTCCCTACTGCAGATTGCCTATCACCACTTTGCTTGAATGTCATGAATCAGGGCCATACCATGCCAGCCACATAGGCAAGTGTCGCAACATGAGCTGGTTAAAGAGAAAAGCTACTCTCTTTAAAATTATTTTTAAAGGAATGGGATTAAAAGAGGGGAACTATTCAGAGGAAATTTATTTATTTATTATTTATTAAAACATTTTTATGCCGCCCCATTCGCCGAAGCCTCGGGGCGGCTTACAACATAATGAATGTCAAAGCAGGCAGGAGAGATGAAACACAGTGGTGATTGTGGATGTACAGTAAATGTGAAATGAGGAGAGGAGAAGAAATTACAGGAATTTAGTAAGAATGCTTTGAGAAGCATACGGAGGAAGGAAGAACGCAGTATAAAATGAAGTCTTTTCTGATCAGCACATTCTGCTTGAAATAGGAGGGGCTGTGTCATGATATCTCCTGAGCCAGCTTTTAGACTTCACTTAAGTTAAGCTGGACTATGGAATTTCCTGATACAAAGAAATAGTTTTGGTGAATACTTTAGCAATTTCCAAAAATGGACAGCACTACCATTTTGTGACTCAAGTTCTCAAGATGGCCCCATGTGTCAAAAACTTCTGTGTACCACGCAAAAGCCTAGAAATGGGGGCATTTGGCATAACCCAGGAACGTACTGTTTCCCCTGTTTATCCATCACCTCCATCATCTCATCTCCTATTGCTCTCCTTCTGTTTAACATCAGATTGTAGGCACCTTGGGAAGGGATTTTTATTCCTGTTAATCTGATATGTATACTCTCTCTCTCTCTCTCTCTCTCACACACACACACACACACATATATATGCACACAAAAAAGCTTTCTGACACTTTAAAAACTAACAATTTTATGTATTCTGGCATAAGGTTTCATAGACATTATACCTGATGCAGAGACATCTGATGAAGGGGATAGTGTCTATGAAAACTTATGCCAGAATAAATAGAGGTGCTACCCTTTAAGATGTCATGATATTCTTTCTTAATTTTACTGCAACATACTGACATGCCTACCCATTCACTCATTCACTCTTACCAGAGTGTTTGGGAGGGAAGGAGGGAAGCCATCCTAACATGATACAACAAAAAATCTTAATTTTCTGCCACCTTAAATTCTAGCAAATTTATTTTTTCCTAAGCTTTTGTGAACACCATACACATATCAGATGCATGAAGAGTTGACTTCAAATTGAGCAAACCTCAAACGTTCAAGAATTCTTTAAAGAATTTAAAAGACTGATATCAATGTGAAATTGCTGAAGCACAATTCATTAAGAATGTCAGTTCTATTTCCTGTGGTTTAACTGGGTTTGGAGTTATTTTTATTGCACTATCATGCTAAATGACTCAGCACTACAATAATGTTTGTGTTATCACCCAGCAGCATTTTTAATGGCAACTGTTATGCCAAAAAGCTGCAAAAATACTTCTCAAGTTAAATAACCAAGACTACCATCAGAGTGAGGCATTTCCTTCTATTGCAATAGACGGGGAGAGCCCGCTCTATCAGAATCTCTCCAAAGTACAAACACACAAAACATCCCGTTTTAACCCTTAACCCGTCCGCCACCGTCCTCCCCCTTTCCCTCATTGGGCAAGGTACTAGGAGGTTACAGTCTTTCCATCCACCTACTTCATATCTCCCATCTCATCCCACTACATACATCTACATACATCACACGTGCATTTTGTGTCTATGTGGGAGAGTATCATCTCTGTAATAAGAAATTGTGTAAAACAGTTCTCATTGTCCAGCAGAAAGCGCATTTCTCTTTGGCCTAGGCAAGCAACAGGTTTGTGCAACACCAGTTCAACAAAGGATTTCTTTTGTGTGCATTTTTGCATTGGTTGGATTGATTTCAGCACTCCAAACATTTTCTTCTTGAGATTGTGCTAAAGAGACTCAAAAAAAGGACATAGACTTTACACTTTATGTTGTGAGCCGCCCCGAGGCTTCGGCGAATGGGGCGGCATAGAAATATTTAAATAAATAAATAAATAAATAGCCTATTGTCTATTCAAGGTGTGTGAGTTAATATTCATCAACCTATTATGCCTGCGTGTTCATAACTACAAGTTCACTAGTTCACTCTTTTCTGGCTTCACCTTGCCCTGTGACCCCACCCCATAAAACTACAGGAAGTATGAGATAGAAGGTAGCCTTCTTCCTTCAACCCAATTATCTTTTCCTCCTTTCCACATTCCTCTTGATAATCTCTCCATGACTCAATTAATGGCTACTCTGTTTCTCAGTAACTGTGTTACTTTCTTCAGCAACCATTAAGGTACTAATTATTGTCAATATTTCTCTGCATTTTAATTTCCTGCTTACATGTCTCCTCCCCACATGTAATATAAATTGACCCATCTGAGGTAGACCTTTCATGAATTTGATGAAGTAGACAGTGTCCACAAAAGCTTATGCTAAAATAAATTTGTTAGTCTTTAAGGTGCAATAAGACTATTTTTGTTATTTATTTTAAGTGGTGCATATTCAGTTATGCAAAAATTTTATATAATATATTTCTGATTATGAAGCTGTTGACACACTTATGCAATTCCAGGTGGGGCTCATAGTGATAAAAATTCTTCCTTTCTGCCTTTTCTTCTGCTCTCTCATTCACGCAAGTTCCCAGTTTCAGAATGACTTGAAACAAACAAGTGGCAACCTGCTTATTAAAGTGTGCCTACACAAATATGTACTGCCAGCATCTACAAGAACCTACTTAAGTTTCACAGAGCATTTTATCTATCCCAAATCTTGCCATGCATAGCTGCCAGAAAACAATTCACAGAATAGTTACGTTGGTTCAGTACAGTAGACTTAAGTATGGGGCTCCACCAATAAAAGTGGCAAATGAATCTCTTCCTCTCATCTTAGATCAAAGGACAAATTTTAGTCCATTTTAATTTTATTTTAATTGTTATGTTTCACTGCCAAGGCACTGTGGGTCCTCAAATTCTCAGAAGGGCTAAGGGTCTACGATGAAACGTTCATCCACTGAAGGCTATAATTTGGAGTATTTAGCAGCTCATTATTGCTCAGTTTCACCATTTGCCTCTCAGTAGATGAATGGTGCTGATGTTTAGGAGTGACAGATGAGTTGGCTGCAGGCACCCCTAAGACCTCTAGTCTGATAGCATTTAGGGAAAAACATGGTGGCTTCTCTCAATAATAAATTGCCCAAGCAAAGGGAGGGTGCAGAGCTAGGAATGTTACATGGAACAATTATATAGAATTGTTAACATGAAAGTCTGCAAGCCACTTATTATTGTAGAATAGGGTGTAAGCTGAGTGTCCTAATTCAAATCTTCTACATTTCCCTTCTCCAGGAGTGATGGCACAGGGAAGAGTGGTTGCCACTGGTTGAGCATTGTGAAACATGGCAGAAGTTATGGTACATGTGATTTTTTTCTTTTTTTGCATTTTGTTTTTCGTTTGATGAAATATACAATAAAATATTATTTGGTTCTAGAGCAGACAACTAGCATATTTCAATTAGTCTGTCATTTTCTTTCCTGCCCTTTAATCTCTTCATGGTTCTGATTTTGCGCTAAGCATCACTCAGAGACTGCTCAGTGTATGCCAACAAAAACTGAGGAGCATTTTGCTGAGTCTTCAAAGGTGATTCAGTCCACATGCCTAAGAATTTTGTATTCTACCACCACAATAGTACATAAGGCAAAGTTATATCAACTGATGAACACTGCAGCAAAATTATCAAAAGCAGCATCACTTTGATCTTATGTTTTTTTTAAAAACAATTACATGCTTATGCACCTCCTCTGTGACTCATATATCACGATGAACATCTAAAAGAAAATAACCAGTAAGCATGTATTAACAATACTAATCTGCGTGGTGCAAAGGACAAACTAAATCTCTGTTGAAAGCAAAATTCATAAGCTGCAAAGCTTCTCTTGCTCTTTGGCTTGATGCTTAGGGCATTCACCACCTTGTTTTTTTGCTGCTGCTAATATAATGAGCTTCTTTCCTCACCCCACACACACTTCAAAGCTATGAGTTAGGATGTCAAGAGCTTCTAGAAATATGGGACCTGCGTTTGGCTTCATTATCCTTTTTTAATTTAGTTTATCTACATTGTGCAGAAGTGATTCTTTCATATTTTGTGATCGCAAATGGTCTTCCCTCTCCACCTGTATTGTGTTCCCCATCTGAAATACTGCAGTTTATGTCATATCCCAAATGCACCAGTCACTCATCACAACACACAGGATCTGATCATGTGCAGTGCCTGATCACCTGTTGGCAGAGGGGTGAGTTTGGATTCGGTCTCTTCCACCCCTCCATCAGTGTTTTCAAAGTTGACCACAGCTGCCATCTGTTTGGATACTGCAGTCTTGCCAAACCCAGGGCCTACAGGTACCAGCATCAAGGTTTTTTAAACTAAGCACTGTAGCAACAACATTCAGGCCCCTTATGGAGAAGTTACATGCAACTGGCCACTTTTTGTAAAGTAATGCCACTTTGAGAAGGAGTGGTTTTGACCAGAGAAGGGTTAGAGAAGGGGGTGGTTAATTATTTCCCCACTTATTTCCCACATCCCTCTATACCACACCCCCAGCTGCCTTTTCTCTGCTCTGGGAGGTGTTTGGACAACTGTGTGTCCCTGAAAACGTCGTCTGAACACCAGAAGGAAGCTTTCAACCCACGACACAAACCACCCGCCCCTGCAGAGAAGAAAAACTGTTGCTGTGAAAGGGGTGAAGCAGGTCCTCCCACCTGCTTGCAACTTTTCCACTCAAGGTCACAAGCTCTGGAACCTGCTTCTCTTTCCTGCAAAGTAGCCTTTGCAGCTTCACTGCATACATTTGCATGTCCTCATCCTGTAGTCAGGCCCAGCGCAGATACAAGGCAGCGTGATGTCTCTGCTTTTTAGTATGCTGCCTAGATTTGCCATAGCTTTCCCCCCAAGGAGCAAACGACTTTTAATTTCTTGGCTGCAGTCAGTGTCTGCAGCGATCTTGGAACCCAAGAAAATAAAATCTGTCACTACCTCCATTTCTTCCCCATCTATTTGCCAGTAAGTGAGAGGACCAAATGTCATGATCTTAGTTTTCTTAATGTTGAGTTTCAAGCCAACTTTTGCGCTCTCCTCTTTCACCTGCATCAAAAGGCTCTTTAGTTCCTCTTCACTTTCTGCCATTAGAGTGGTATCATCTGCATATCTGAAGTTGTTGATATTTTTCCCCGGCAATCTTAATTCCAACAGGTGATTCATCTAGCCCCACCTTTCTCATGATGTGTTCTGCATATAAGTTAAATAGGAAAGGCAACAATATACAGCCTTGCCAAACTCCTTTCTCAATTTTGAACCAATCAGTAGTTCCATGTCCAGTTCTCACTGTTGCTTCTTGACCCGCATATAGGTTTCTCAAGAAACAAATAAGATGATCTGGTACTCCCATCTCTTTAAAAACTTGCCACAATTTGTTGTGATCTGCACAATCAAAGGCTTTAGCATAGTCGATGAAGCAGATGTTTTTCATGGCGCTTTCTCCATGATCCAGCATTTGTTGGCAATTTGATCTCTAGTTCCTCTCCCTCTTCGAAATCCTGCCTGTACTTCTGGTAGTTCTTGGTCCACATACTGCTGGAGCCTAGCTTGTAGGATTTTGAGCATAACTTTGCTAGCATGTGAAATGAGTGCAATGGTGTGTTGTTTGAACATTCTTTAGCATTGCCCTTCTTTGGGATCGGAATGTAAACTGACCTTTTCCAATCCTGTGGCCACTGTTGAGTCAAGATGTTCTTAGAAAGTGCATAATTGTTCGCTGGTATATTTGCTTATTTGTCTAATTGCTTGGGGCTTACTTCATCACCGGATCACAAACCCAGAAAGTTTGTGAACCATGTGTGTGCATGGACCCAATCTACACAGACAAACACACGCAGAGTGTTCCATGCAGGTTTTTATTTGTCCTGCCCTCCCCATATGCCTCGTACTGGCCCAACGTGTAGTTCCCACAGAGTCAACAGATGTTTGCAAACAAACTTGCAAGTTTTTCCCAACACTTATTAACGTGGACCAAAAGGGAACAGATTATACATCTTAATTGTTACAGCTTGTCCGGCAGGGTTTAAAAACGCTGCAGGGATTTGATTCTGCAGTGGAAAATCTGGCTGCCAAACTGCATGTTCTGATTCATATTTGGTGCAGAAATTCTGCTGAGCTAGGTTTCTTCATCTGGATTCTTTGGGTTCAGATCCAAATGCTCAGATCCAACTTTAAATTTCATGGGATTCCAGAACAGACATGGGCCATGTCAAGCAGTGCCTCATATTACAGCATACATATCAAGTGAAACACTGGATCACTGGGATAGGGACTGTAACCATATTCAGGCAAACACATTTAGATTTCTTTAGACCTTCCTTCTGAGCACTGAAAGGTCAAGGCAGAGAGGGGCAGGGCATTATACCATCCCTGGATGCCCACCACAGATTCAAAGTTGGAACACTCAAAGAGTTACTGTATAAAACACAGGCACCAAATGTCTTAGTTACTGTACCTGCAAAAGTCTCCTTCTGCCTCTAGCAATGTCAGCGAAGCTACAGAATTTTTCATCAGATTAGCTACTGTGTTGCTCTTTGGAGTCATATAGAAGAAAGGAATTCCAGTGCTATTGTCTGCAGGACCATCACTGATAGAGAAATAATTTCCCAACGGTGTTCCTTGAATCTGAAAAATGACAAATAATTACCACTTAGAAAGCCTGCCGTGTGTGTGTGTGTGTGTGTGTGTGTGTGTGTTTGCAAATATTCTCGATATCAATTAAAAATATGTTGATAGCCAGACAGATCTGCTGCTGAGGTTCCGAGAAGCTCCATAGAGGTATCAATATGCAATCAACAGTTCTTTGTGCAGCTGCTTATAAGACTCACAAAGATATCCTATGCAATGTTTTAAAAAATATTTAAAAAAAAACTGTAACAGGTAATTTTAAACAATTTCATATAATTTGTTATTTTGCCTAATTAATAGTTGGAATATTTTAATCTATAGTATCACTTGTAAATTGTCTATTATGAATAAGCTGGTCATTGACTGTAATAAACAGTTGTTGTTGTTGAGAAAATGTTTCTATAATTTACTTAGCTTGGAGTCCACTTCCTTGATTGTCACAACTGGTTGTCAACATGCCTAAATTTAGATGTATTGATTGGAATTGCTAATATTGTCCTTTCTTTCACAGAGATAATTTTTCAGTTGCTTTCTACTTTTTCATATTAATTGGCATTTTGTTCATTGCATACTTTAAAGAATAAAATGTGTACTTGTATTGCCAAAAATAATACAAAGGCCATTAATAAAATGTAGCAATTGTACAGGAATGTCTAGAATTCATTGTGATTTTATAAAACTAAGTGTCTGTTCAGTTGGTTTTAGGATTAGTGGGTCTCAGATTCGTACCAGCCAGGAACAGGGACCGCGATGCTATCAGATACAGGAAAAAACTGAATATAAATCAGTTGCAGTTAAGTAAAGCTATAACCCTATATTATTAATATTTACCTGGCAGTAACCTCCATTTAATTCAGTAGGACTTATTTTGAGCAGACATTTATGAAATTCTGCTGGGCCATTGTAAAGCCAATTTAACTTTAATAGCTGATTGGACAGTTCATGTTCTGGGCTATTCATTTTTTGTTTAACAATACATAGGAAATGTATGAAGCCATTAATTGAAAATTGGATGGCTAAGCAAATTTTTGTAGAGTTACTTTAGGTCATTTCTTTAGGTAGAAATGTCAACATCCCCTTTCATCCCCTTCCCTCAGGTACTAAAATCTGCAATTGAGACTTAACACTGTATTCAACTAGAATATTACAGCTTGTGTTTAACTCTCTTGTTGCAAGGCACAGAACTTAAAAATCCTTAATTTTGACTAGGATGACAGGGCCAAAAACCAAGAAGAAAAAACATATCAAGCAAGAAAGGAACCTCAATAGATCACAGAAAATAGCATATTGAAATCAGTGCAGTATTTATATACAAAAGACATTTTAAAGGGTCAATACAATATCTACATAAACCTAGTGTTTCAAATATAAGATCTTTGAAATATTTCCCTAAGGTAGGAGTAAAATTCTCCAGACCAGATATTAAGGGCATAAAGGGTACAAGGGGTGGTTCTTGATTTTCTATTAGAGAAGCGATTAATTGGATGCCACCCAAGTTTTTCCTAAATTCCTCTTGTGGTCCCATCTTTTCCAGTCTGCCTCCCTAATCTCAGCTGGATTACCTGAGTAGTATGTATTTGAAAGTTGTATCCAACAAATGCATTCCCCTTAAATAGGAGGATTCCTGGAAATGCAAGCCCATAGATACATGATCCAGACAAAATTAAGCACTTTGAACATGGTCTTGCGTAGGGTTAACAAAAATCAGATTAAGCAAGTGTGCACTGGGTCCCACCAATTTCAATAGGTGAGTCAAATAGGGGCTTAGTAATTTTCCACCTTGCTACATCAGACCTCAAATTGTACATGTCTGATCAGCCATTCTGTACCATATTTCTATGTGATGTGTGCTGAAATTAATGTTTGTAAGTTTCACGTCCAGGGGTCAAAGTATATAGTTAGTCATCTCCAGATGTGCCACATTACAGCTCCCAGCATTGTTATCCACCCATGCTGGCTGAGGGATTCTGGGAGTTGTAGTCTAATAATCTGGGGGCACCAGGTTGAGGAAGACTAGTATATTGCCCATATACAAATATGCCCTTTCAATGTTAATATTTAAATTAAGACGCTACTACCAAATGATCCTCCTCCAAAAGAATCCACACAAACCAAAAACTGTACAGTAGAACCTACAGTAGGTTGTTAGTCTAGTTGCAGTGGATTTTGTAAACAATTCAAGACAAAGGAAACAATTACTGGTTAATCATATCCTGGTCACATCCAGGCTAGACTACTGGCTTGGATGTAATGTGAAGTATGCAGGCGCCACAGAATCATAGAACAGTAAGGTTGGAAAGGGACAGAGGACCATCAAGCCCAGCCCCCTGCTCAGTGAAGGACTCAAGTTAAACCATCCCTCTCAGATGGCTGTCTGGATGTATCCCGAATGCTTGTGTGGGACAATTTAATAACCAATTAACCTAGATAATTGGTTCCACTGTCATACTGCTCCAACAGTCAGGAATTTCTTCCTGAACTTGAGCTGGAATCTGGCTTCCTGTGACTTAAGCCTGTTATTCCATGTCCCACACTCTGGAATGATTGAGAAGAGATCTTCTTGTTGACATCCTTTCAAGTACTACCTCTGTTTTGTCTTTTTGATGCTAAACATGCTCAGTTCTTTTCTGTCTCTCCTCATAAGGCTTTTTTCCCAGTCCTTGATCATCCTGGTTGCCCTCCTCTGAACTCTTTCCACCTTTCCTGCATCTTTCATAAACTGTGGTGCCCAGAACTGGACAGAGTACTCCAGATGAGGCCTCACCAGTGCTGAGTAAAGCGGAACTAGTACTCTATATTATGTGGAAGTGGTACTTCTATTAATGCAGCCTAAAATAGCATTTGCCTTTTTTGCAGCCACATCACATTGTTGACTCTTATTCAGCTTGTGATTTACAAAAATTCAAGATCCTTCTCACCTGCAGTATTGTTGAGCCAAGTATTCCCCAGCTCGTGATGATGCATTTGGCTTCTTTTTCCTAGGTGCAGAACCCATATCTATTCCAGGTAGCCTTTTCAAATTGTATGCTTCATATTGCTGGTCTGAAACTCTTTATGTGGATGTTGCTATGCCTTTTTTGGCATTTGTGATGCTGTTTAATATTGTTTTGGAGTTATTTTAATATATTAATACAGTTGTATATTTTATGATCAAGCTACCTTATGAAGACTATGCCCTAAAATAATTACATATTGAAATATTAAAATCAATTAATATTTGTAGGCTGAAAAGGCAGCCATAAGCATTTCTGATAGTGGCTTCAACCCCTTCAGCAATGGAATGCACTGCATTGCTTCACAAGTCACTATATTAAAGCCAAATCTATTTAAACAAAATAAAAAGTAGTGAAGATAAACAAGACAAGGATCATATGAAACTCAGTTGCAGCGACTTCCAGAGGGGAACCCTCTGCCCTTTGCCTCAAGTATAGAAAAGTGATATTCAGGCAAACACACATAATATTACTGGGACAGCAAAGATCATTCTTTAATACCTTCAAATTCAGTTAATAAGAATCAGTTCAACATGGCTAACAGGGAACTTTTTTATGTTAAAGGGAGCCAAACTGAATTTTGCACAGGGCAGGGAAGGTCCATTATTGCTGTTTGGAAAAATCAGTGTCTTTCAGCTAATGTGGAAAAAATACCTTTCAAAACTAAGGTGTCACTGTAGTCAACCAATTCTGAACTATTTCTAGTAATTTGGTTTCCATGTTTCACGTTTTCTATTAATTAAATACATAAACAAATGACAACCTTTGCCCCACAAAAGCAGAATGCCTCTGGTTTGCTTCTTTAATTAAAACCTGCAAATATCTTTTAAACTAACCAGCAGAGAGGCCACGTAGCAAGGGCTACTAAATTTCCATTTCTGCACAGCAAGTGACTAACATCAGCTCAGGGCACAATCCTATGAAGCGACTCATATGCTCCAACCTCAGAAGATTAGAGGCATCCTACCACAAGTGGGAGGAAGAAAAAGGTTGCCTCCCTGCTCAATTCAGGGAGCCAATTCGGCCATCCACCTGCAGTGCTTCAGAGGTGGGGGAACGGAGGCTGCAGATACATCCTATCCAGATGGTGCTGGGCTCTTCCATTCTCCCCCAAATACCCACCATACCGCTTCTCTGAGTTTGTTTTTGCTACCTGAGAGGGGTGCCCCGTGAGGTTCTTTCTGCACTGGTTGAAGGGGAGGTAGGAAGAGCGGTATCTGAGCACACCTTCCAGGTCTGAGGCAGGGGCAATTCGCTTACCTCGGATCAGGGAATCCAAACAATCCCATGGCCATCTAGTTGTGATCCAGGGTGCATAGGATAGCTCTGCCCTGCAGGTCTGGCACTGGCTGGCCACTGAGAAAAAATAATCTTTGACTGCAGTACCGCCAAGATGCCACCCACAGGAGCTGGACAGATCTAGTTGGTAGCAGTTTTGTTCAAATATTTTTGCTTGTTTATTTGTTTGATTGGCATGGTGACTGCAAAATAAAGTTAACAATGCAAGCTGCTTCTTCAGTACAGTAACAATCCTTTTACCCCCAATATCAGGAAATGCATCTCAAAATTGAAGCGCGCGCGCGCGCGCACTGCTCTGGGTACCTTTTCTTGAGTGGCTTCGGTGGCCAGGAAGCCCCAGCTGCTGTGATGGCTCAGGAAACGGGCAGTCCGGCTCGCTTGCTCTTGAGAGGCCAGGCTGTCCGCGCCTTTGCCGCTCTCTCTCCGGTAGGAAAACATCCGGGAAGGCGAGGAGATCTGCTTCGATCTCGCCGTCCCCGGCGGCCTCATCTCCGCCTCCTCTTTGTACACCGAGGCCGGGTAGCTTTGCTTCCAGATGCTGGTGGTGTCCTCGAGCAGCGCGGGGAGCACCTCCTCGTTGGAGGAGCTGTCCAGCTCCTCTTCCACCTCGTTGGTCACCGACCAGGACACCGAATTCACGATCACGTAGCCGCAAGCCGGGGCGACGAGCAGGCTGCCCCACAAGGCCCACGAGAACCAGGAGAGGCAGGGCGCCGCGCTTTCTCTCCGCCGGAGCCCCCAGCCGCACGCGGGCATTTTGCAACAAAGCGCCCAACGCCGCCGCGGCCAGCCGTGCACGCAGCTTTGCAGCGAAACGACGCAAACAAGCCGAGGCTCGGCTGAGAGCGCAGCGCCCTCCCGCGGTGAAGACGGCGAAATGCCTGGCGAGCCAGCAGGCGCCTCGCGGTGCTTAGAAGAAGAACGCATCTCCTTTAGCTTTCGCAGGTGAAGGTTCCCCAAATTTGCTCTGCTGCTGTTGATGCAGCTGCTGCTTAGTATTGCATTACATGCATACCCCGTCCAGTTGCAAGGAACCCAAAGATACTTACAAAGTTCTCCTCCTCTCCATTTGGTCCTGGCGTGACGGAGGGCTGAGAGCTTGTGAGCGACCCAAAGTCACCCAGTGAGTTTCCTGGCTGGAGTGTGGACTAAAGCCCCTCAGTCGGACACTCTGACTCCTCCCCCACATTGGCTTTCTAAATGGAGAATAGTGGGATGCTACAAGAATCTTGTAGCTATCAGGTGATGCTTTTATTTATTTATTTGTTTGTCTTAAAGCGTTTATAAACTGTCCCTATACTAGTGAATCCGGATGGTTTCACTAGTATAGGGTAAAATAGAAGTAAAAATAGTAAGTTACTAATACAAACAAGAAGTAAAATAGAAATTAAAATTAGCACAACATGCAGTATAAAACACATTAAAAAAGAGGGCTATCAGGAGATGCTGCCTGAGATTCAACATTCCCTCCTCCTCTTCAGTATTATTCTACTTCTTATCACACTCTTCCTCCAAGTTGTTCAGGGCAACACAAGCAATCCATCCCCACCATAATCTTGTATTAGCCTTTGAGGCAGGATAGCAAGTCTCAAGACTCCCGAAACGACTGCTCTGTCCACTGCATCACAGGGGGGTGGTGTGATACTGCAGGGATCTGCTGATTCTCTTGTTACAAGCCTCTTTCACAGGCAACGAGGTAATACGTGAGAAGCTGCTCAAATACTATATGATGCTCTACAATGATTGTGGTAAAAGTAATAATGTGTGTCCTTAGCAAGACATTCAATGTGAAGGAAGTTTTTGTTGACCAGAGGATGAGCGTGACACGCCTTCTCTCGTCTGGTTCCATCCTGTACACTGCAATCAACCCGGGACATTTTGACCAAGATTCCTGCTCCAGCAGTGGAAAGGAACAAAGCAGGAGCTTTTTGGCTGCAACACTTATTCTTCAGCTGTCCTTCCTGGAAGAGCTGCTTAAGTCCTTTTTGTTGCTTGACTAACGTGTGTGCTTTTGGGAAGGAAGGGGATCTGGCCGTGGGATAGGCTGACAGCTGATGTTACTTTGGATGTTTTAATGGGCAGAAACCCCTTCATTTTCTATTGCTTGCTCTTTATATGTATATGTTTATTACTTATTCATTTTATTATGTTTTAATACATTTTGGTCATGATCATAAGTTTTGTAAGACCCTTTGAATTCACTGAAGATGATCAGGTGGAGCTACATTTAAAAAACTAGTAAGAATGGCTTCATCCGTGTACAGTGCAGTATGGTATGCCAGTGCAGTGTGGTGTCTAAGAAAGTTGTACTGGAATGTAAGAGATTCAGCTTCCAGTCCCCACTCGGCCATGAATCTCAGTGGGTGACACTGGGCTAGTAGTCACAGACTCTCAGCCTAACCTACCTCACAGGGTTGCGGCTGCTGTAAGGATAACCCAATGCATGTGTTCCCTGAGTTGCTTCTTTCAATGTTAGGATGGCAACTGAACCTGAAACATCTGCTTTAATCTCTGTTCACAAGCAAACATCACACACGCACCAGATTGTCCTCCAGTGAAGCCTGCCAATTGTCTTTGCTGCATTTAACTGAAACTTTTAGAACTACTTCCCCATAACAGATTGCAAAAGAACATAAAAAAAGGTGGGTGGGTGGGGAATTTACATTAAGTATGCACACGGGTATGGTGGAGGAGAGCTTTGCTGCTGGAACAGAGCTTTGCAAATACCCTGGATTGAGAGAAAGAAGAGCAAATGTATCCTAGGTAAAATTAACCCAGAACTTTCTGAAGAAGCAAAAATGCAAAGCTGAGCTCTCACACTTTGGCCATATCATAAGAAAGCAATATTCCATGGAGAAGATGCTAGGGAAAGTCACAGGGAATCATGCTAGGGAAATTTGCAGGCAAAAAAGAAAGGGAAGAATTTAGAAGAGCTGAGCAGGACTGTCAAAGACTGGACATTTTGAACAGTTTTCATTCATCGTGTTGCGGTAAGTGAGAGACAAGTTGATGGCACATAACAACAACAAATGTACACAGGAGCTGACATTCATCAGAATTAAAATAAAATAAAATAAAAATGTGCGTGCTCTTCATGAACACTATGTCATTTCACAGAATTCTGTATTAAATCTAAGCTTGTATTAACCTGGTGCAAAAGACATCTTTCACAGATGCTAGTCAATCAGTCTTGTAGAACTGCTTGGCTTGCTTCCAAATGCGGCTGCAATCTTCCTGTGGATCAGAGGTATGAATGGTACATTTCTGTCCCTCTTTCAAAGTAAGAAGTGCTTCTTATCCAACAGGAAGAGTCACTTGAATAGCGCTTTTAGAAGCTTTGTCTCCCAGAATGACTTGGATAAGCTGAGGAGTTAAAAAGAAAAAGTGAAATATCACCAATGGAGAAAGATAGGATTCTGCTCTTCCTCTCACTGAATGTAACTCTGTTTCTTTATTTTCTTTTTCAAGAGTTTGGCTAACATTCAAATGAAACTGTTCAGAACAAAAGCAAAGTACATCAGATGAAAGAGCTGTGAAGCAGTATATTAAGTTCCAGCAGTTAATTGTCTATAAACACTGGGCTTAACTCCAGGAACTGACACATGGTCAGAATCTGTGAATGGCTGTAGCAGTTAATGCTTCTGCATTACTGGCATAGCTACTAGAAAAGCCATTTCACCCTGGTGTCCTCCAGATGTGCTGGACTGCAACTTACCGTATTTTTCACTCTATAGGATGCACTTTTCCCCCCCTCAAAAGTAAGGGGAAATATCTGTGCTTCTTACAGAGCGAATGTATGTGTGCCCGACGCCCGGGACGCTGCCGGCCACCTGCACCATGTGGCACCACCTGGCCGGCACGCGCTCAGTGAGCCCTGCTGCAGGTGAGAGCTGTGCCGCTCAGGGGGAGGCGTGCGGAGGAGGAGGAGGCATGGCCTTTAACCCGCCGGCCGCACGGAGAGACGGACTGCTCACCCCCACTGCCCGGGAAGACATGCCGCTGCCGCCACGCCGCCCGGAAGACCATCGTCGGCACGCTGCTGGCCGCCTGCACCATGTGGCACCACCTGGCTGGCACAATAATTTGAGGAGGAAAACAAGAAAAAAAAATATTCTGAGTCAAATGGTTTACTAAACTATTTAATAGACTATAACAGAATACAGTAATACCGTATTTCAACCTTGTAAAGTGAACAGCAGTCAACATTAAGCATTAAGAACCATCATCACTGTCATTAACAAAAGAGAGACTTTAAAGTTCGAGTACTCTTCTAGTTTTCATTGAACCCATAGAACTCATCATTACTAGAGCCAGAATTTATGAAGCTCTGTTGCTCACAATCACTGACATCACTTTCTTAGTCAGTAGTGGAATTATTGAAGGAATCCACAAACTACACCAGTTATACAAGAGCTGCTGCAGACAATTCAATAACAGACAATTCAATAACAAATCTAAAAAAGCGAGTAATGTCCACACTGCCCTACTAGTAAATAATAGAAAAAAACTTCTGACAAAAAATGAGATATTGTATGGTAAATCAAACACACAGCGGACTAAGTAGCCTTTGAAGAATAAGCTTCATACATGAAGGTAATGCTGTTCAAATATCCACTGATCCTAAAAAAATGTGTCTGATCAACTAACAGGTAACTGATCCATGGAAAGCTTCCTGATAATCACAGGCACATTCCCCATCACTTCCCCAAGGGCTTCATTAAAAGACGGGTTGCCATTTGAAAACACACACCAACCTGTGATTAACAGCTCTCACCTGCGCCGGAGGAGGGGGTGTGTTGAGTGCGTGCTGGCCAAATGGTGCCATGTGGGGCTGGCAGCGTGCCGGCGGTGGTCTTCCGGGCGGCGGCGGCAGGTCTTCCCAGGCGGTGGGGGTGAGCAGTCCGTCTCTCCGTGCGGCCGGTGGGTTAAAGCCAGTGGCTCCTCCTCCGCACCTCTCCCCCGAGCGGCACAGCTCTCACCTGCACTGGAGGGGGGGGGGTGGAGCAGGGCGCACCGAGTGCGTGCCGGCCAGGTGGTGCCACGTGGTGCAGGCGGCCAGCAGCATCTCAGGCGTCGGGCACACACACATTCGCTCTATAAGACGCACAGACATTTCCCCTTACTTTTGAGGGGGGGAAAAGTGCGTCTTATAGAGCGAAAAATACGGCATTTAAGAAGGTGCGATATGGTTCCGTTGAGATGGATGTCAGAATTCTGGCTGGTGAGTTTTGCACAAGTTGAAACTTCTGAACTAATTTCAAGGTAGCTGCACCAATAATCCCACCTGGGATTTATCCAGATGTGAACCACTGTGGCAAAGCTCTCCCTATTCAGGAACGCCACTGCTGGCAAATCATCTGAAGCGGTCAAAGGTGTTCCAAGTCACCAGCACTGGGCGAATGATACTTACTGGGAGGCTTCTGACCACATTGCTCTAGCAGACTTAGCTAAAAGCTCCTAATTTCTTTTCTTTTCTCTGTAGCCCCCAAGGCATGCCCAGTATCTGCTTCTGAGGGTTTGAAGGAACCTCTGTAGCTGGATGGCAAGTGGGCATCCAAGAGGAATCAGCGAATATTACACATTCACACCCTACAACAAGTAGGAAAAAGTATTTCAGATTCCTAGGAGCTGATTATGCATAGGAACATTGACATACATACTGATTATAGGCTTCAGCATTAGAGAGCAGTAAATAATCAAATACTTTGGTAATAACTACCACAGTGGTGGTGAAAAATGTGTGGTAAATTTTAAAATCACTACTGAACAACTCAGTGAATACATCCGCCAAAGAACATGCTTTCCTATCATCTTTGGGTTTAATTAGTACCTTTATATAGATTGTGTAGGCTGAACTTCTAGAAAAATGTTCCAGGGAAAATTACAACACTATCATTATTTGAAAGATGCTTGGCACCAAGGGTTTCTTTGCTTCAATATGTCATAAGAATAAGTGATCCAATCTTGCTGCATTGACAAACAAAGTTTAAAGGAGACAAATATATTTTGGCTTAACCACATACATTGTGGAAACCATAACATAGCAAAAAACCAAACGACACACCAACAAACTCCACATTGACCTGCCTTCTGAAGTGACCTGCCCCAGCCTTCCAAGCAGCAGAGTGACAGTGCCTTCTTTGGCCAATGATATAAGCGAGGAAGTTTCAATCAATATGACAATTATTGTAGAGTCAAGAAAGAGGGCAACTAAAACATTAAACTCCCCTACAAGCAAAGACTACAACCTTTAGTTGCGGGTGGGGAGCCAAATAAGGTGATATATGATAGTGGTCTTTCATAATACTAGAACCTGTGGTCATTCCATGAAATTGATTGGTGGGATGTTCAGGACAAATGAAAGGAGCTGCTCCTACCCACAACCCATAGTTAAACCATGGAGTTCATCATATAGTGAGGACCATCAGTCTAGATGTGTGTAAATTAGATCGGACAAATTCATGGAGGACAATTTTGTGAGCTAGGTTTCCTCTCTTTGCAATTTTAAAGACACAGACCTTTTTTTTTTTTTTTTTTTTGCAAAACTTTATTTACCTTTGTTAACCAAAGTGTTTTCCAGAAGCACAAACACCCAGAAAATATCTCTAAGCATTCACAGAGCAGGTCATTGAATCCAATCTAGTATTTACTTCTAGGAACTCTCCTTATGAGTATGTTTGGGCACCAACCTTTTGGGAGGGGACTTTTGGAAATGAGCACACCTCCGCTCTGCAGGCTGGTCCTCTCATTGGACCATCCTCCTCTGTTGACATCCCATCATGGGGTGGACAAGCATACCCAGCATGCTTGTCTCTGAGAAACTCCCCCACTTAAAGCATCCTTCCGGTGTCAGTACATCTTGGTTATTCTCAGAGGCTGCCCGAGCACATGGGGAGTCTGGCCTTGAGATAAAAGCAGCTCTGCTTCTCATATCAGCTTCTGGAATTAGCCACATTCTGAGGTCTCCTCTGGGATCCAATCAGGAGACCTTGGGAATGTATGCCAAGAGCAACTGTCTTTCTTACTCCCAACAGATAAAGCTACCAGTGGCTACTAGTCCTGCTGGCTATATGCTACCTCCAGTTTCCTAACCAGTATGGATATGAAGGTCCAGGTGGCTAGAGGTGGTTCTCAGTGGTTGCTCCTCCAAGAACGGAGCAAACCAGATGAACTTCAGCATGGTAACTGCCTCCAGTGCCTTCAGATTTAAGTCTGCTAACCTGAAATGGGCTTAAAGAGGTTATAACTGTTAATAAGGTCTCTGGGAGGTCTTCCTAATATACAGCATAAGTCCAGACAAGACATCATTTTGAATGGATGGTGGAGAAACATTCACTGTACTTGGATATGATTTTGTTTCAAACCATATTATATAGTCTGTATAATTCTTTATATGGAAAGCTCTTTTGAAAAGGTTGTAACTGACAACCAGAATGAGGCAAAGTTATTTTGTTTGCCAAATAAAGGGTATTAGTAATCTGAATCATTTGCATCCTCTCTGATCCCTGAATTGTTCGACTATAGCTGGATTGGTAAATGGAAGGCATTGCTTGTGGCTTAGTGAAACTGTCTTCTGACCTTGCTCAGCTTGCTTCGTCTTTGTCACTGACAGCTGCTCTTTCCTTGCAGTCTGTCCTTGAGGATACTTTCCATCATCAGGGTTTCAAAGTCCAAACCTATTGCAAAAAAACTGGGTTTGGGACACTGACAGGGATGATGGTGGATAGAAGGTCCAGGCACCTCTTCCATTCCCCTAGTTCAGGGCATCCCCTGAAGAGGGCCCAATGCAGAGCAGAAATTGCTGTCAGGCTGACATTACACACAGCTCAAAGTTCATTCTGACTTTGGAGCAAATTATTTAAGAATCAAGTTTTGGAAACTGCTCTGAATCAAATCAGGGCATGCTTTTTGGCTAATGCTATGAAAAGTTGGAGCATTCATAAATCATGGACTTCATGTCTAACTGCAAAGAAGTTGCTGTTGCATTCGAAAGCTGCTTCCAACTTTAGGCATGTGGAACTAGACTGGGGGAAGCAGACTTCTCTCTTCCCTGCTCCTACTCCTCACAGCAACCCTTCCAGCCCCCTGAAAATGCAACTTTGAGAGATAGTGCGGCCTGCTTAAAGGGGCAAAATATTGTGCAGGAGGTATTCCTGTTAACTGGGCAAGGACATCCTCCTTACAGAGAACCTTTCTGTCAACAGAAGGCAAGTTGTGGATCCATTCCCAAGGCTGGTTCTTGCAATCTTAACAGTGAAAAACAATCTATGGGAACAAAGGTTCCTTGCCTTCTTTCATAATTTGCGGCAAGACTTCTTCAATAAAGCTCTTTGAGGCTTTTGAAACTTGGACCTTAGAATCCAAGTCATGAGGCCTGGAAACTTGAGAGAGTATAATTGACAATCTGCCAATCAATATGCTTTGAGACAGAGAACAAACTCTGTGAGATGATGTACAATTTATTACTGACACTGTCTGATTCCTGGTTTTGGCTCTAGCTGTCATCTCGAATAATAAAGAAATGCTGCAACTAGTGGCTGTGATCTTTAAAAGACCCAGCTAATGAGAAGAGAATATCAAAATGTATCAAAATGTAAAATGTCAAGGGGTTCTGGTACATTATGTACAGTGTCAGCTATGAAATACAGTCCATTAGAGGTCTACAGGTAGAGCAGTCAAACTTCCAACCAGAGCTACTAATATTGGATGCAGTGGTAGGAGTACCAAGTGTGTAGAAATTTTGGATGAAAAAATTATGCCATCATTTACAGTGTTCTCATTCATTTTGACAATCTATTTGTTTAATAGCACAGAAAATGCAAATCCATTTCTTTCAGAACCAAACAAACACAAAACCATTTTATTTTCCATGTCAGAAAATGTTTGGGCAACTGAAGAAAAAATAAATCATAGGCAGAATATGATAGGATAACTGAGAGAGGGAAAAGAATTTGCAACTGTCAACAATTCTGGCTGGATTCTTTTTAAAATTCTGTTACAGAATTTTCACAGGAAATGTTAAAACA